GTTGAATCGGGTCAGCTGACAGCAGCCTCGGCTCTGATTGAAGGTAACGTAAGCAACTATCAAAGGGTGAACGCATGCGAACGCAGATAGGTCCGAAAGCGCAACTGTCCAGTCGGTGAGGACATTTCTCTGAATCACGACATCCTCAGCAAAGGAGGTCGTACCTTGAAGTGTCAGCGTCCCAGATCGGCATGATACAAAGGTCGCGGGGCAGCAGAGATTTCCATGGTACCGGTAGGGCAGTGTTTAGCCCGTGGTCAAAGCGAAATGAGCAATCCCCTGTCAGTTGTTCTTAGTTGGCATTCTAATTACCTTGCCTGCTGTGGAAGGCTTGACAAGGATCAACCCCGGATTCGGAAGTTGAGAACCTTAGGCCTTAGGAGCAGGCTTGGGACTCGGGACCCCACAAAAAGTTCTGACGCCTCAAGCTCCAAAGCCCGAGGCGTTAGGCCAGGCTTCATTTTTTCTAACGGCAGCACGTCCTTTCGTCCCGTCGACCGGACAGGTCAGTGCTATGGCTTTCGAGCTGTGCATGCAGCGAAGGCGCACGTTTTGTTTGCCTTGGACAGTTTGTCAATTGATGTTTGCCTCGAACCTCATCTGAGGGTGGCTGTCTAGAGCAACGCAGTGGCCAACGTGCTGCAGGACCTTGGCAGTGTTTAGGGCTTAGGTTTTAGGGTTTGGGGTTTGGGGTTTTGGATGCTATAGTCAAGTCGTAGTGTTGACTCGGCATGACGCGACTTGTCTTGTGCAGAAAAAACGACGGGGGCCACCAGACTGGAAGACCTGGTTGGCAGCTCAGCAAGGTTCAGGGCCTATAAGGCATTGTGTACAACCGGTCAGAAGAGTGTTGCTGCTCATCGTCCGCTCACCCCAAAGAGTTATGGCGGAAATGTCGGCTCCTTGACATGTTGGGAATCCTTGAGAGGGGGTTGAGAAAGGGATAGAAGGCTACCAGTGGAAGCCTGAGAAATCATTCAGTTGTCTGGCATGCCTCAGTGGGGTTCTTGAGGTGCCGCCGGCCGCTTTCGAGGGCATGAGCCAGAGCAGGCAGCAGGCAAGTGGGAGACATCATCGGCGCTTCGCCAAACTGACGCCCCACGGCATCAACACGAGCGTCCTGCAAGCTGGCAGGCAGTCAAGGAGCTCCTACAATGGGCTCTCACCCCAGGAATTTCTGAACTTCGAAAGCTCGTCGTTGCAGCGCTACCGCCGTAGGGCAACGCATTGGGCACAGGTCCAAGACAAGGAGACGCTTTGCCGGAAGCGATCACAGGAGGGGGTGGACAGAGACAGCCTGGTGCCTCGAATGGAGCGACATGGAAGAGCCTGCTCAGGACCAAAGGCCTTCCGCCAGCTCCAGGACTTTGGGACTTGTGGGAATAGTTTTTTGATTTTGGGTTCTCTAATTCCTACGAAACGATCAGTATAGAGGAGACCCAGGGGTTTAAGCGCAACCAGGGGGATGGAGGGTTTTCAGTTGTCGGCACTCGCCCTGCAGGAAGTCTGCGCTGACCAGGGGGACTGGTTCCCCCCCCCCCCCTTGGCCGCAAGAACTGACCATGAGAGCACAGCACAATGTTGCACAAGAGTAGTAGAAAAGTTGCGGAAGCAGAGTACAAGAACTGCCTATGGGTATTTCCGAAAATAGGGGCACCCCTTTTATACCCCAATAGAACAGGACCCCCTTCGGGGGACACCTGAGGTCGGGGGTACCCCTATTTTCGGAAACCCCCCACAAAGCACAAGAAAGCCCCGACAATGAGAAGAGGTACCGACGGAAAGACTGCGAACGGCGTGAAGGTCGAGATCCCTGAGGCAGATCTGCCACCATGGGCTTCTCAAAGGTTTAGGGTTTAGGGCGGTTTAGGGTTTAGGGTTTAGGGTTTAGGGTTTAGGGTTTAGGGTTTAGGGTTTAGGGTTTAGGGTTTAGGGTTTAGGGTTTAGGGTTTAGGGTTTAGGGTTTAGGGTTTAGGGTTTAGGGTTTAGGAGTTCATAGCAAGTTCAGAGAGATTCAAGTTAGAAGCAAGAGTAATGATTGTGATTCTGATAGTATGTTTACCGCAGGCAGATAACGATAATGATGATAACAGTGGTGATAATGAGAATGCTGATCATACTGACAGCTAGTGACATGAATCATAGCAGTCATCTTAACATATCTTAAACGCGGTTTTGGGATGAATGGTAGCAACAAGATGCAAAAGGGATAACAGCCAATACAAATGATTCGGTTGACCCTGATGGTAACACTGATGACTGACAGGTGTAACATGTTTATGTTTTGTTATAGGCAAAAGAATTCTCTCAAGTAGTGACAGCAAGAAGTAGCTAGCGCCAAAACGTACATAGTAGTCATCATAACCAGAAGCATTATCCGAATGATAGCACAGGTATAACATTCAACAAGAGTAACAAGAACGGTCATTAACTACAAGTTTTTTTTAGTACACACTTTTGGGGGTGTTACTGCCACTGCTAGTGAACTGCTATCGTGCACTGCAGTGCATGACGAGGCTGTCGTTGTCAGCGATGACAGCGACATCGAGGAGAGCTGATGCAACGTGGTAAGGTGGCAATGGTTTTATAGGAGCTGGCAAGCCAAATTGTCCAGATTAGGATACAGTACCTTGCTGCTGCCAGTATACCCTTATCATAAGCATCCCAAAAGGTCGAAAGGGACCCTCAGCGAACTACCCGGTTGCATGTCACCAGGATCTGAAGATGACGTCGTCAAACACGAAGACCGCACCCCTGTCCTGGGGGCTGCGAAGCCAAAGGGTGCGCCACCAAGATCCAATTCTAATCCTTGCTGAAGCGGCATGTGAACTTCAGGACCTGTAGACCCGACTCAGAAGAACGGCTACAAGCTTGCAGCTGCACTTTGACTTTGAGAGCAGTTCATTCTAGGATTCGAATTAAAGGCCACGCTTGCTGGGCTTGGTTGGGAGAGAGCGTGTAGTTGCCTGAAAGAAATAATGGTGAATGTGCCTGACAACCCAGGCGTGCCCAGGAATAGCATGCACAGTTTTAATTTTAATGCTGCCCAGTGGCATTGCCACTAGCAGACCCCACAACAGCGGTTTCAGCTGCTGACTTGACTGATGCTTACTCTCCACTGCACGGTGAGAACAAAAAGGCCACAATGACCGCAACGAACAGCCGAATTGCCTTGCGAACTTGCGCGGAAGTGCATGGCACGCGCACGGGATCGTTGCGCGACACACTGAATACCAAGGCAAGCGCCTGTTGTCGCAACATGTCGCAACAGTTTTGGTTACCCAGCTGTAGCTTTCAGCCGTGTGCCGGGCATGACAAACTCGTGCAGCAGGAGGGGGCAGCTTTATGAAGTTAATTATTTGCCAGAACCTGTCCTGTTGCTAGAGGTGCTAGAGCCTGTGTCCAGGATTTCTGTCAGACTTGCAGGACACTTGCTGCAATCGCATTGGGTACCGCTCCCAGGCAAGAAGCAGAGGCACGTGTGCGACATGGTGCGCATGGTTCATCTCACTCCCAAATTGCTTCGCTCAGGTGTGTGCGTATGGCTTGGCCATCAGGCATTTGTACAAGTTGCACCAGCGGAGCATCCAGCCGCACTTCCGCTCGGAAAGTTCGCACAAAGTCCATGGTCCTGCTCTGCTGTTTTTGGAGGGTTTATGGTTTAGGGTTTAGGGTTTAGGGTTGAGGCATTGGATTCTGCTCAGCTTCCTGTCCCAGAGAGCCCAGGCCACCACGAGCAGTGGGCGCAGCTTCCGATCGACTGCCCCGGAGAGGCCACAGACAAAAAACACCCTGCGGGAAACGGGGCAGGTAGGCCTTAATTGCCTGAGTTGCAAGAGATCGGCTTGGTAGGCTGATATTGGGACGAGAAGGTTTTGCAAGCTGATAGGGGGGAGGGAAGCGTACACACCCAAGAACATCTGAATGTCTAGAATCTCGCTAGGTGCTTTTCAAGCAGCCCTCAACTTCAAGTCGTGTGAATGAGGGAAGATGAAGGTCTACGAAAACAAGGGACCCCTTGTAATACAGTCCCCCAAATAGTAGGATACCCTGATAAAAAGGACCCAAGAAGGTACCCCCACCCTAAACCCTAAACCCTTTACCCTAAACCCTAAACCCTGAACCCTATAAACCCTAAACCCCAAACCCTAAACCACCAAACGAAGAGGCAGCCGCCAACCTCAAGCTCTGCCTTGCCAGCTGTTGCCGCAGCCACGGTGTGGTACTCGGCTTCTCGGGGTTCAGGGTTCATAGGGTTTAGAGGGTTTATAGGGTTTAGAGGGTTTAGAGGGTTTACAGGGTTTATAGGGTTTATGGCACAGAAAGTGGTTCCGGGGGGCTTTGGGGCGTTCAAATGTTGGTTGAAGGTGGTTTGGTTTTGCTGAGGGCTTTCTTAGTAGCTGAATGAGTACACTTTACACTTCTTGGGACACCCCAATCCCCTGTAGAACCGAAAATGCACACGTTTTTTGGGGCTTGCGGACTCAGCAACTGAGCTTTGGCTTTCCACCGCCGGATCGCAGATCCCAATGCCTCCGGCGAGGTCGGAGCATGCTTGGTCAGTGCTGCGCCTGAAGCTCAGATGGTCAGTTCTCCGACCTCTGGCCCGTTGTTTTGGGTACCCTACATCGACCAGCCTCGGCCGGGTGGGGTGGGGCTTGTGGCCGTGCCCAAAATGCGCCGTGGGTGTGTTGGGGAGGGGATTAAAGGTGGGGTACCTGCTTTATGCTCCCTAGACACCTCCGGCGCAAGGCCTCGGCCGGATTTAGATAAATGACCAGATCCGGGCTCGAGGCTGACGGGCTGTAGGGCCTAGGGGTATGAGGCGTCGTGGTTTCTGCCAATCAGTGCTCAGGGTTTCAGGTTTGGAAGGTCGTTGGAGGATATGTTGCATGGTTCCGGTGCTGCAGTGGCTTTCCTTGTTATGCTTCGCCCTTGACAGCCACATTTGCCCCAGTGTTTGCAGCGGCTTCAGGTTGCGATCACGACGCACCAGCTCAATGGCGCGCAATTTGTTTTTCGGCGGAGGTCGAGATCCATCCCCAGATGATGTGACGACCAAGGCCCATTAACAGCATCGCCATGGTCATGAGGGTTTTAGGCTTTAGGGTTTAGGGTTTGGGGGTTCAGACTTGTGTGTGTGTGAGAGATCGACATGCATAAATGGCATCCATGAAGCCCAACTGAAGACGACTTGCCCAGGTCTACTTTGACATTAGCATTGGCCAGCAGCCTGCCGGGCGTGTGGTCTTCGGGCTGTACGGTGCGCAGCACCACACAGCCCCCCCCCCCCCCCCCCCACCGACTTAATTTCATGCTGGTCGAAACATTTGATTAACTTACAGGCCCTTTTACAACAACTTCTCCAGCAAACTTCAAGCAAAAGATCCGAGCAGATCTGCACATATGACAGAGCCTGTCCTAAGGACAGCATCTAGACAAGCATGCAGAGTGTTCGAGAGCAGCTTCATCTAAGCTTTTCTTAAGCCCTTTGCATCAGATCCCTTCGGAAGTATGGTGCTGCTGGGGTAGGACATGAGTTGCATCAGCACGATCGGCTCTTCGATGAAGCCGGTCAGGTGGCATTGTCCCAAAGACCGTCGAGAACTTCCGCACGCTTTGCGAGAATCCACCCGGCGAAGGGTTCAAAGGACAGTTGTGGAATGTCCAAGTGTGCAGAGTAAAACCCCAAACCAAAAACCCTAAGAGTTCTAGAGGTTGCGGGCATGAGGTATCGGTAAAGGTACTGGTATAGGGGGCTTAAGAATTAGAACCGGGTTTGTGGGGGCTATGATAGTACGTTGATCCAGGAACATTTAGGGGTTTTCTAACGTCTCAAAAAACCCCCTAAATTTAGGGTTTAGGGGCTTTCTCTCACGTTCAAAGAAGCCCTAAACTCTAAACCCTAAACCCTAAACCCTAAACCCTAAACCCTAAACCCTAAATGCTTTGGACGACTACTACGTAACTACTGTGGACACCGAAACACAGCCAAGCAGGATGCCCCTTCCACCGCATCATCCCGGGCTTCATGTGCCAGGCAGGTTTTCTCTTACTTGCTTTTTAGAACCCCCAAAACCAATAGAGGAGGAGAATCCCTATATGGCCCTTTTTTAGGAAGAATGTTTTTTTGATTTTTTGAGGGGTTCTGAAGCAACTAGTAGTCTTTGAGGCCAACTCCCCCGAGTTTTGGGGGGTCCTGATGGCCCTATATGGCCCTAAACCTAAATACCCTAAACCCTAAACCCTAAACCTGATCGCTCGGCAGGGTGGTGACTTCACCAACTTCAATGGCACCGGGGGTCGAAGCATCTATGGCGCAGCGCTTGGATTCAGCTCGGCATGCTCTGCCACTCGGGTTTGGGCTTTGGGCTTTGGGCTTTAGGCTTTAGGCTTTAGGCGTTAATTAGGCTTTAGGCTTTAGGCTTTAGGCTTTAGGCTTTACGGTTTAGGGTTTAGGGTTTAGGGTTTCGCGTTTGTGAGTAGCGCAAGTGTAGGCCGTGAAGCCTTTGCCGTGGCCGTAGCTTGTATCTGAGCGCAAGGAAACAAGTTCGAGGATGAGAACTTCGAGTCTGCAGCTTAACTGCCTGTCTGGCTCATGAGTGTGACATGCACACCTTCCATGCTCTGTGCATTCCATAAAAGGCTGAACCACACAAAGCTGGACGCCCAGTCAATGAGTCAAGCCATCTGTCCAGTGGCATGTTTGCACCTGCACTGTCTCCGGGACAAGCTTGGCTTCATTGGCATCTTTCTGCATGCTGTGGTTGATGATATTGGGCGGGCGCAACGGAGTGACAGGTTTCTGCATCGCCCCTGGCATCGGTCCGTGTAGCCGAACTTGGCAAGGTTTAGGGCAGCTCCGAACAGCGCTACGAGATGATCATGACCTCACAACGCGAAGAACAACTTCTGCCCATTTCAGATTGTACGAAGTGAGTCTGTAAACCCGAAACCCGAAACCCTACACCCTAAGCCCTAAACCCTAAACCCTAAACCGTAAACCGCATGAAGGCCTGGGCTCCTGAGCATGGCCAACGCTGGCCCCAACACCAACGGATCGCAGCCGGGCCCCTCAGTTGGGCGAGAGCTTCTGTGGATTTGGGGGTTCAGGTTTAGGGTTTTTTCGGGTTTATAGGGTTTAAGGTTTAGGTGCTCTTTGTGATGTTTTTTCGCGCTTGGCCTCAGTCTCCCTCAAGAGCCAGGGTTAAGCGTAAGTGGGACCTCTCCCCTAAACCCTAAACCCCAAACCCCAAACCCTAATAGGTTCTTCATCACCACAGCGCCCACGGACTGGCTCAATGGCAAGCACGTTGTCTTCGGCGAGGTGCTGGAAGGACGTCACCCGATGTCGCCTCACCCAGACACGCGCATGTACGCACTGCCAGTGAGTCCGACCAAGCCTACCCTAAACCCTAAACCCTAAACCCTAAACCTGCCAGGATTCGATGTCATCCAAAAGATGGAATCTATGGGATCTCAGTCGGGCAGGCCACTTTTTTTGGCAGCATGCTCTCTAGGACTTGGAGCAGCTCTTGGAGTCCCCCTAAACCCTAAACCCTAAACCCTAAACCCTGAGTTCTTGACTTTTTTTGGGCCTCCTCTTGCCCAGGACCCGGCAACCGGTGGCCATTGCTGATGCAGGTGAGCTGTAAGTGATCTTTGCAGGTATGGACCAGCCTGGCGGGAGCACCGAACATTGTTTTAGCGGATTTTAGCACGCATGCGGCATGCATGTATTTTCATGACCCTTGCTCCCCGACAAGCTGGATTCATTTATGTCGGCTACCCTTTGAAAGCCTTTGAAATCTTTGTATATCCTGGCCGGTGCGGCCAGCAGCAATATGTTTCATGGATTTTCAGTCATTACAGGCTCCGGAAAGCAAAATCAGATCCCGCGTGAGTCCGGAGTTTCAGAATTGCTAAGGGGCTAGTGCTGATGTGCCGCATGGTAAAACTTGCGAGCTATTGCTCAAGCGGTATTTGCCATAGTTCCGGCCAGAACACAGATCACTGGTAAGCAGGGTGCGATGTTTGCTCCCGGGACGTGTTTCTCTGAGGAGAGGCAGCCTTTGGGCGTGATGGTTGAGGTCGTGGAGGTGATTGAGGAGTGGATGATGGCACTTCCTGACGATGGCTTCGACCCGACGAGTGGCCGTTTGTCCATGCTGTATGTACTACAGCACGCTCCGATTCCGGATTCCCAGCACGCTCCTCTTACTCCGGATGACATCGCCGCGGCCATTGCCCACATGGGCCTTCAGACTCGCGTGTACTTCGAAGAAGGCGAAGTGTCCCGGATGCAAGAAGCATGATCAATCAACCCTTGAAGTAGCTGACAGACATGTTCAGCTCAGACGGTATCCATCCGTGTCCCACGTGTTTTGGATTACGTGCTCATTGTTCTAAGGTCGGTATCCGAAGCACTATGGAGCAGATACGCGAGGTCTTGGAAGACATGATTGGTTCTGAGTTGGCTTTGCGAGATGATGTCAGTCTGCTCGACCTTGCAGATCAACCACTTGTGGCAAGACAACTCAAAGGGATCTCGGATGCTCGAGAGCGCTTGGCGACTGTTGCCGCTGCGGCCAGAACCTCGAGCAAGGTTGCAGTGGAAGGGGCGAGAGTTGTCAAGATCACTCCGGACAGGACCGATCCTGTGGACCAAGGTCAGGGATCAGCTTGGAACCAGCAGTGGTTTGCTACTGGCTTGCTGGGCAGTGATGACGAAGGGTCCAAGACGCAAGATGAGGTCGAAGGCATTGGCACCCCAGAATTCGGAAGCGACAAGAGTCCTGAACATCGCTATGATTGCGACTGGACGCAGCTCCCCTCCTTTGAGCAAGCCTCCTTTGAGCAGATGCCCTGCTATGAGGAGCTACCCTGCTTTGAGCCACCGGCGCTTCTTCAAGTTCCCATGGTTTGCACGCCTTGGGGGCTCACTCCAATGATGGTGTGCCTGTCTGAGACATCCGGTACCGACCACATGGACCAGGACCACTCTCAGCTGCTGGAGGATGTGGACTCGGAGAAATATTGGTGGAAGCGCAGGCGAGGCTTGGTTGACATGTTGGCAAGATTCCTGACCCGTCGACGAGAGTATGGCTGCGTACCTCTAGACGATGTGCTGCAGCGACATCCGCAGCTCTGGTACAAATGCCACTCTGCACATGAGTTGGCAAGAGTTCTTGCCCAGGTTGGGGAGCTCTCTCCCATCGTGGTTGACTTGTTGCACTGCACGGTCCGCCTGCGGACTACTGATGAGGCTCTTGTGGCCACCTGTGAAATGCTGATGGCTGAGCTTGAAGACGGCCTCGGAGCGACCTCGGCGCCAGCGACCTTGAGTCTCAACGACGCGCTCAAGTCACGTGAGGTGCAGTCGCTCGCTTACCCTTAAGCAGCAGATGAGGAATTGCTACAGCAGCGTTTAGGGTTTAGGGTTTAGGTTTAAATCAGATCTTATGAGAAGTTCCGCTGCCCAACGTTCGGTCGGCCCAGGTCTCTGCTGTCGTGTGCCTCCATGGATCCGGCTGATCAAGCGAGCGCCTCGGGGCCGGCTGGAACCACTGATTTTATTAAAGAAGAATAATAAGACTAATGATAATGATAGTGATGATAAGAATAAGAAAATGAAAATATGTACATACGTATGGCTTCAGATTTCATGATGATCCACGATGCATCAAGCAGGGGGTTCTTTGTTCAAACGATGTCTACTGCATTCCACTGTGATCCGTTTGCGAAGTTCTGGTGCAAGAGCTCTCAGGCAGTTAGAAATGCGGACTGCATGCGCTCCATTGATTAGCATCATGTGTTTGCATGCAGGCACCAGACAATAACTATGGGTTCAAGGGCGAGCATCGGAAGCGTTGACTGCACCAACTGTAATTGCAAACTCCCATGTGCACAGGCTGACTGCTTGCGAGCAGCGTTGGAAGAGTCTGAGCTTCTTGCAGCCACTTGACTGCGAAACTCCGGCAGCAGTGTGCCCTTTCTAAGGTATATAAGGGGACTAAACGGGGTACCCGTTTAAGGGCCCATACTAAAGAAACGTGGAGCTAGCTACCCTAAGAGCCCTAGGTTGGGGCATCGGATGTCATCTCCTGGCGTTCTCCTGCTGAAGTTCTGCCCGTGCCTTAGAGTTACTATGAGCCAAAGCGTCATGCGGCGCAGCAGAAGCCTTCCACCCCAGGCCCAGTGTCAGTTCCTTGTGGGACCATTAGGGTCTTGTTATGCTTTATTCCAGGCTTCAGCCCATGGAGGAGATCCTCAGCAACTCAAGCAAGGCGATGCAACCGCTGGGCATTTGTTTGTGCTCCTCTAGGGGGGGATGGGGGGGGGGGTTGCCACCTCCTGCCGCTCCTAGTTTAAGCCCTGGACTCTTAAGTACCCCGAGAAAGCAAGAGCATGCTAGAGCCAAGCAAAGGATGAAAGACTGCAAGAAGACAAGACAAGTCATGTTACAGTAGCAGGATGCAAGCGCGCTTACATGGGCACCCGAAGCACAAACGCAGCTCGTAGGATGCGTCTGCGTAGTACGTGGACGACACCTCCATACACCTCCAGCCGTGTACGGCAATTGCAATTAAATCGGCCAAATAGAAAAGAGAAGTGGAAACAGCAGAGCACAATTGCCACAATCCAAAGCTGAGAGACGCTGAGTCGAGTTTCAGACAAGTTAGAAGGCAACGGTTCGGATGAAGGAGCCCAAAATCCTGATCCCTGAGCTCCCTCAAGCCTTGAAGCCCTGAAGCCCTAAGCCACAACCCTAAAATCCTAAGGGCAACACATCGTGAAACTCAACTTGAAACTGGGAAGATCTGGAAAGTGTCAACATGCTCTCTCTCTCTACCGTCCTCTGGCCACGCAGTGCCAGGAAGCTCACATGATGAACAAGGAGGGCGAGGTCTGGACCCCAAAGCCCTAAACCGCTAAACCCCAACCCTAAACCCTAAACCCTAAACCCTAAACCCTAAACCCTAAACCCTAAACCCTAAACCCTAAACCCTAAACCGAAGCTTCAATGACATACTGTTTGTTAGCAGGGAATGAGAGAATTAGGGCCCTATATATATATATATACCCTTTAAGGTCCCTATTTCCCTCATTCCCTTCCAACCAACACAAAGATGAGCTTGGCAAATGATTGCAGCGACCAGGTTCCCCTGCTTGTGCTCGCGGAGGAGCCGACGATTCGCCGCCTGTCAGCGGCTGAGAAGTTTCTGTCCTGCACCATCCTAGGAGAATGGAGTATTAGGGTCATATTTGTCAATGTTAAGATATGCATCTTTTCAATATTGAGGATCGTAGAATTTTGCAGTATTACAGCACAGATCAGTACACGGCTATAAGATTCTATTGTTCTAATATAGATGTTGTAATCTAAGACCCTAACCCTAAACCCGAAAACCCTAAACCCTAAAACCCTAAACCCTAAACCCTAAACCCTGAACCCTAAACCCTACACCCTAAACCTGAACCCCAAACCCTACTACACCCTAAACCCTCATGTCCACTGGGCCGACTCCGGGTGTAGCTGAGACAAGGCTTGACCGCGCATGCCTCAAATCGAGCAAGGCCGGGCAAGGTCTAGGGGCCGAGACGTTTAGGGTTTAGGGTTTAGGGTTTAGGGTTTAGGGTTTAGGGTTTAGGGTTTAGGGTTTAGGGTTACGGTGGCGACTTTGTTTTGAATATGTGGAGGGCGGGCCCGGGGGCAGCCACGGAGGTCGTATACCGATTTAAATGTCCATATGTTCCAGATGTATATAAGAATTAAGCCCACACCCCATCCCCCAAACTCTAAACCCTAAACCCAGCCCCTCAACCTTACAACTTAAACCTGCGTACCCTCTAAGGCCTTGTCCGGCTTAAAGTGGCCCAAGCAAGAAGGTATTTCGGGCGGTGGCGCCGGGGGGGGTGGCGCCACCCCCCGAAATACGTGCCCTCTGCGGCATTTTCCGGCTTACAGTGACCGAGAAAAGGCACGTATTTCAGGGGGTGGCAGGGGGGCGGGGGGGGGGGGGGGGGCGGGGCGCACCCCCGAAATACGTACCCTTTGGAGCGTTTTCCGGCTTAAAGTGACCCAAAAAAGGCACGTATTTCGGGGGGTGGCGCCCGGGGGGGGGGGGGGGGTACACTCCCCAAATACGTACCCTTTACGGCGTTTCCCTGCTTAAAGTGACCCAAAAAAGGTACTTTTGGGGGAGCATCCCTCAACCGTAAACCTTAAGCCCCCGCTGGCTTTATCCCTTGGTCCCTTGAGCACCATCCCCGCAAAAAATCCTCAGAAGGAAGACTCTCAACACGACAACCACTCAGAACCGAAACCCTCTACTATTATAACTTTCCGGATGTTAAAAAATGGGGCGGCCCCAACCCCTCGCTCACGGAGGCAGTATGAAATATCTGTCTTGTCTATTTGAATATCCGTATATTTTAACATCGTCACCGTGCAATCAAAGGTAAGTTACATGGTCCCTTGCTTGTGGTCCCTTACCTTCCTTAGCATTTATGTAGCTGTCCTAAGATACTAGCTTTTCGGGCTCGGGCTTCAGGGTTTGTGCAGAACTTTAGGGGCCTTGGGGCTCAAACGTACGAGTTTGAGTTTTTTTGATGATCAGGGGCTTGTTTAGGGTTTGGGGTTTAGGGTTTAGGGTTTAGGGCTTACTTTGAGGTTGAGCCCAGGTTGCTCCAGGGAGTATGTGCAAGGGCTTGTTCCGAGCCATGGGGTTCAGAGAAAGGCTCGGAAGCTTCCTGAAGTTCTCAAGAAACCTTGTTGCATGCCTATCATGCGTCTGAGCATCCGAAACCCTACTGTAGGCCTAAACCTCATGCAGGATTCGCTGGATGCTTTGCGAGAGGCACTTCTTGAATCTGAGCAGCTGGTCTTCCCGACTGGTTCCGCAACATGTCTCCCATGATGTTCTGGTCAGGGTTTACGATCTTGGGTTAAGGGTTTAGGGTTAAGGGTCCACGGTTTAGGGTTACGGTTTTGGGTTTTGGGTTTAGGGGTTAGGGTTTAGTGTTTAGGGTTTAGGTTTAGGGTTTCGGGTTTAGGGAGATATAGGATGCAAGTACCCAATGGTCCTACTCCAGCCAGGAGTTGGACACCCCACGGATGAGCTGCCGGGCCAAAGGAAATGGTCCCAAGCTCTGATACCTCCTGTATGGCGGTGCGGATTTAGGGTTTGGGTGTGGGTTTGGGGTTTAAATATATGGGGTTATCATTGAAGGTATGCTGCTGATGCCTTTTCATATGAGAACGTGACAAAATTCTTACGTGGGCATTTCCCAAAATAGGGGACCCCTAATATACCCCCAACAACTATAATCCTTATTATAGGAACGCCCAAATGGGTACGTACCCCGGCTTTTCGGAATCCCCCCCCCCCCCCCCATATTCTTACGGTAGTATATGTATCACATCAGTATCTCACGAGAATTGCCTGGTCATTGCTACTTCTCCTCAGGCTGGCAAGCTGAAGCTGTGGATGCCGACCAGGCACTCACTGCTTCTTTAGTTCCATGGGAGCTTCCGAAAAAGGGACCCTCATATAGACCCCCCGAATAGTAGGATCCCCTTAGACTAAGGACCCCAATAAGGTGCCCCCCTATTTTCGGACATCCCCACATGGGGCCGGCCTTTGGGCTACTTTTTTGTGTCCAGGTTTGCTGAGGTGTCGGTGGCAGTAGAAGGGGCGGCTTGCTCGAAGTAGCGGCTCCAATGTTCAGCACCGCTTCTAGAATCTTAGAAGTCGAAACGCATGCACGCCGCAACCATACTAATTGTTGCTGTCTTGCAGAGGTGCAGCGGAGAAGGCACCCGCGCAGATGCTTCTGGACCCCATCTACCAAGGCAGCTGCTTGCATTAGCTTTGCAGATGCTTGCAGCGTGCGTGTGTGGGTGGGTGTGTGTGCGGTGCCATCCCTAAACCCTAAACCCTAAACCCTAAACCCTAACCCCTAAACCCCTAAACCCCTAAACCCCTAAACCCCTAAACCCCTTAACTCCAAGGACAACCCAAGAGGGACAGCACTTTCTAGAGAAATACCCCATGCTCTCCTCAGCCTCACCTCGAAAGGATGCCGTGGAACTGCGCAAGCTCTTGAAGCACTACTTCGATCCTTTCAACCTCCAGCACAATCGGGTATCAGACTCAGGTTCGGTTGTTTTGGTACCGTTCGGGGCTTTCTTGGAACACGGCCTGTGATTATTCGGGCACCCCCCCCCAAAAAAAAAAAACACAAAATCTAAAAAAGAAGCAAAGAGGCAGACATTTACCAGGTGGAGCGAGAGACAGGTCCGTTTTATGCCAGACTCAGTCGCTGGAGGTCCTCATGTCGGTGGTGCAGGCTTCGCTTGTTGTCAAGTTCCGCCCGCATTCGTAGTGCCGGGGAATGGATGACTGCAGTGCTCGGGCTTTGCTGCCGTCTTTCTGCTCGAGTCTTTAGTTGAGCCAACTTGTGCCCTCATCGCACAGATGCAGCACGAGATCTCCACCAATATGAAGCACACGAACTAAACAATATAAGTGTTGTCACGACCAGGACTCGGTGTAACTCGATTCGCTTCATCCACCAAACTGCCGAGACATGCGAAAGCCCAGCGCAGTGCAAGAACCGGTGAGTGCCATCAGGTGTCACTTACAGAAGTTTTAAAGCTATGGCGGACATGCCGCCACCTAGTACTATTCCCAGCAAGGCCTGGCGATGTTGTTGGGCGCAGGGTGTACCCTTCTTATTATTGTTTTCTTACTATTATTATTAGTTTTATTATTCGTCGTAGTAGTAGTAGAAGTAGCAGTAGTAGTAGTAGTAGTAGTAGTAGTAGTAGTAGTAGTAGTAGTAGGAGTAGTAGTAGTAGTAGTAGTAGTAGCAGTAGTAGTAGCAGTTGTAGTAGTAGAGTAATAGGTGGCAGTAGTAGGTGGTAGTAGTAGGTGGTAGTAGTAGGTGGTAGTAGTAGGTGGTAGTAGTAGTAGTAGTAGTAGTAGTAGTAGGAGGTAGTAGGTAGTAGGTAGTGGGTAGTGGGTAGTAGGTGGTAGGTGGTAGGTGGTTGGTGGTTGGTGGCAGGTGGCAGGTGGCAGGTGGTAGGTGGTAGGTGGTAGTAGTAGTAGTAGTAGTAGTAGTAGTAGTAGTAGTAGTAGTAGGAGTAGTAGTACTAGTACTAGTACTAGTACTAGTACTAGTACTAGTACTAGTACTAGTACTAGTACTAGTACTACAACTAGTACTAGTACTAGTAGTACGAGTAGTAGTAGGAGTAGTAGTAGTAGTAGTAGTAGTTGTTGTTGTTGTTGTTGTAGGAGTAGTAGTAGGAGTAGTAGTAGTAGTAGTAGAAGAAGTAGCAGAAATGGCAATGGTAATGGTAATCGCAATCGTAATCGTCGTAATCGTAATAGCAATGGTAATGATTACTGGTAATAGTATGGGTAACAGTCATAGTAATAGGAATAGGAATAACAATAGTAATAGTCATAGCAATAGTAATAGTAATATTAATATAATACCAATATATTACCAAAAGTAATGGTAAATATGGTTGTCCTCGTCCTCGTCCTCGTCCTCGTCCTCGTCCTCGTCCTCGTCCTCGTCCTCGTCGTCGTCCTCGTCGTCGTCGTCGTCCTCCTCCTCCTCGTCGTCGTAGGAGGAGGAGAAGGAGTCTCGGAGTAGCAATATCACCAGTAGTAGTCGTACTTGGTACCAGTACTCGGACTCTCCCGACCCTAGCATTCAGCCGACTGCTGCCAGGCGTACACTGCCTTGACGGAGTCTCCGGTGGCAGCCCAGGCTGCATAAGGGGGGTCCACAAAACAGGAGACCCTGTTGTGTCCCCAAAATGTTGTGAAGAGTCTTTGTGGTTCCCAATAGGAGCATGATAGTAGTGTGCGGAAATTTCTGGAGTACCCCTGTTTTGGGAAATAATGGCAGTACCGGGAATATGTAAGTGATGCCCCAGCAAGACCTGCCATGACACGTGCGGCGCGGAGGCAGAAATTGGGGCCCAGGCCTGCAACATGCCGCTCTTCCTTTTTGCAATGAGTGGCCCTAGCTTGGAGCACATTGTAACATGGAGATGCACACTTGACAGCATCAGGCCTCCCCGGAGAGTGACGTGAAGGGCCCAGCAGCCCCAAGAAAGTGCATCAACTCGTCGTTGTCTCAGATCGAACGATGGGCAACGCAGTTGCTTCTTGCGCCTCACATGCCAGGCAGCAGGACTTGGAGGTCTTCACAAGGCATGCAACCCAGCGGAACTTGCACGTGTGCAAAGCGTACAATCGACCTGGGATGCATGGCTTGTTGTTCTGCAGGCATGTGCTGCAATCAAGCCTTGCAAACGAGGTCCAAGGTGTGCAATCAGCTCGTGTCATTTGTGACGGAGCTTGCAGAGGCCGGTGCAAGTAGCGTCGGTATATATTGAATCTTGTCATATCTTGTCATATCTTTCCCGCGCTCCCTCCAACGTGCTGTTCCTGTTTATTGTGCTGAGCAGCTAGAACATGCAAAGCAGAAACATATATTCCAGTACATGAGTACAATCAGCCCAGTGGACGAAGACATGTTCTCGCAGCATGCCGCAGATGTTCCCGCAGCATGCCGCAGCCATACTGCAGCCTCCCAATATCTCATAATTCAGCGCCGAGGCCTCTAAGGGCTTGCCCATCACTGCAGAGAGGAAAGACAAAGCATCACCCCTCGTGTTGGCCTCAGACTTGCACTGAATTCACTGAATCGCTGTGCAACCAGTCAGTGCATTTGCTTAAACCCCAACCTTGTGGGCACTTTGCAATCGCTTGGGGTGCACTTCACAGGGAGCTTGCGTGCTTGGTCAATTGGTCAAGGTGCATGGTTTGTCCAGTATGCTGGCAGAAATGGAGTCGCGCTCCTCAGCAACAGACTTTCCAAGCAAGTTTCAGCCATGCTTGGGCAGGGAAACCTACCACTCGCAATCGCCAGGCGATGGGTAGATGACTTCCCGCCGATAGCTCAACCCATGCGATTTGGAAACAAAGCTTTCCGGCAATGGAGCGGGACTTAGCACCAGAGTGACGCTGAGCATGAACAAGTTAAGTGCTGTAGGTAACTGGGTTGTTCTTTGGGATAGTCTGAATTTCCCTTCATTACTCATAAGGGAACCTATTCAGAAGTAATTCTATGACTTGCCTGGCGTCAACCTGCGGTGTGCCATCAGGCATGCGCGTTTGTGTGAGAAGGGCGAGGGCCTTTTGGCCGATGCTCTTCGCTCGAGCCCGAGAGTGGAGTCTCATGTGTAGTAACTCTGAGACTTGCAGAGCAATTTCGGAAGCGGGTCAGGCGTTCCCTGCGAAGATGCCATTTCAGTGGCCAACTTTGCCAGGTAGAGCACCAGCAGCTACCGCTGAACAGGCCCGCCTTTGAAAGGGGCCTCATGATCTTGGTTAGCTGTCACTGAGTCAGCACTGACTTCAACAACTGGTGTCTGTTAGGTTGGACCACTGTCGACGGAGCTGGCATACTACCTTCGGGGTTCGTTTGGTGACGAGAGGCAGGGCTTCCCAAAAAGCGGGTTGGACGTCACCTTGCCGCTTGCCTTCTGAGAGGCGGATCGACTACGGAACAGGCCACGAGGCAGCTTTGAGCAGATTGCAGCTGCAATCAAGTTGTCATGGTCACGGCAAATCGGAAGGTCGCATTTCTCGCCATTCTTTTCGCCTTGGGATCGCGCGAAGCTTACGCCTGTGTCATGGTGGTTCGCGCAAAGCGCAGAGGGACAGTGCTATGGCTTGTGATAAGTATATTTGGTAAGTGGCCACAAGGACCGGAATTCTCGCTCGCTCCGATGCAGCTGATGCGGTGCTTGTAGCCTCCTGGCTGCAGAGCAGTAAGCGGGCGTTATGGGCGATGAGACAAAAGCATGGGCAAAACTGTGGTCCCACAGCCAAGTTCTAACTCCCCCACCCTCAGAGAACAGATTTGCTGTTCCAAGATGTTCCAAGGTCTTTGCAGACTACATCCGCCTGATGCGGCGTCTGCAGAAAGTGCTGCCCTCAACATGGCCACACGGCCTTCGTGAGGGGAAGTGCTTCACGCATACCACGAGCGGACAAAGCTCGAGGTCTACATGCTGGAGCCTGCAGGCCTGTGCAGCTGAATGCTTCCCACGATGAGTTTGCTCGTGCCGGGGAGGAGGAGTCTGAGATCAACAGGAGCTGATACAAGGGGTAAGCTTATCTCACGCTGCATGTGTTTTTGTGCAATGTACTTGACATGTAGTGGATATATTGTTTAGTATCGTGCGCAACTAGGTGTTTGGCCAACGTCTGCCGTGCTTGCAGTTTTCTGTTTCCGCGGTCACTTTAGCAGAGCAGCAAAAGGTCCCATCCGGTGTCTAGATCAGTCTGTATTTCAAAAATTTCAAAAGCATGATCTTCTTAGGAGTTCACCATTTCTTTGTGAACAGCTCGCATAAATACCTGTATATACCTGTGAAAAAACAGTTAGTGCATGTTAGTACCGTGGCGTCTGCCACACATGCGAGGTTTCTGTGTGTTCTTCGTGGCTGTTCCAAACGCAGCGTCTAGGGGTTCGTATTCCCTGATGCATGATTCCGCGATTGATCTGTGTTTTCTACGGTGCAGCGTCTACTTGGGGGGACGCATATTCGAGATGAGCGAGTGATTGGGCGGTTCGACGTGTGCACTTACACTGCAAGGCTCGCATGGTGTTTGGGGACTCGACGCCGCGTCCTTGGTGCCCCTAATCATTAATCTCTCTTCCTTGCGCGTGCAGAGGCCCTTCAGCATCAGAACTCTCAGGACTACCACCATCTGCCGTTCTTGTTTGGAGCTGCGCAGCTCATTGGAAAAGAAGACGAGGCCGTTCGCATGGTTGCTCCAGTGACGTCTGTCTGATTCTGCCTGGTCAGAGGCGTCATGACCGCTTGCAAGTTCTCGTAGCTACATTGGGCTCTTAATCTGTATAGGGTATATAAGGGGCATATAAGGGGTATAGTAGTGTATATGATAAATATGCATGCCAGACCAAGTGGGAGGTACCCACCGGCGAGGTGTACAGAGAGAAGGCGCTGCCGCGGCTTTCTTGCTTTATCCCTGAACCCTGAACCCTAAACCCTAAACCTTAAACCCTAAACCCTAAACCCCGGTCAAGTCGCCTTTCACATCATGTTGGAGGCATGACCGACCTGCTTGTATATGCCAAGCGTCAAGAATCTTGCGAGCAGCGAATGGGTGCCCGTTGTCAGATTGTCGACCAGTTTGCGGACGAGTACATGTACGCTGCTCGACTGCACAGAAGGTTCTTGATTAGGGCACGCGATTGTAGAACTATACGGGTGCGGCTAGTGAGTTTGTATGTGTGCGCGTGACGGTTTGCGCATGTAACCATCTCCAGTTGCCGATCTAGAGCAAGTTGGCAAATCACTCCAGTGGTTATACCTTTTCTACCTACTTCATGTTTTTTGTTTCCAGACTTGTTTTGGGAAAGATGGCGGCATTCGGGCCATGAACCAGGTGCTAAGGAAAACACCAAAGCATACATCCATCGTCTGTGAGATGTAGTTTCGATGCAAATTCAACATGCCTGCACAGCATGTTTCCCGAAAGTTGGGATCTTTTCGGCTTGAAGAAAGCAGTAAGCAGTTTCGGAAGCATCGGCTTCAGATGCAGGAAGTTTGGATACATGTTCATGATCATCTCTATTCTTACATTTTTATTATTTTTTATTATTAGTATTATTCTAGTTATTGTTATTAGTAACATTACTATTAGTATTATTATTATTGAATACGAAAACCGAGTTGCACTACCATGGCCCTGCAAAATGCCCCCATGAGAGCAAGCTGTTCAGCACGGCGGCTCGTGACGTTTCTGGCACCTCTGTCGAGAACCGAATCTGTAACACTACGCAACTATGACACCAAACGAATCCTTTTTGTTTCCTAATGTTGAAGTTAGTTACGCGTGAGAACGTACACGACACCACCTTCAATCTTGAATTGCCTGGGTGGGTGTGAAGTGTGTGTGAGCCAGCTCAAGGATTGCTTCCTTGAAACTTGAAAACTAAGGTCGACGCAATACGTCAAGCCACAACCTCAAACCGTTGAAATGCACAGCGGCCTGCATCCTCTCCATTTTGTACTTCAGACCACCACTTCAGACGAGGTTCTTCAATCCAAGCGAGGCGCCGCATTCCATGAGACGTCACCATATCTCTATGACATCAGCTCTGCACGCTCCTTACCACAACTTGGCATGCCATTTGTTTTTGCCTGTCGTTGCGAGCTGCGGCTGTTTGCCCAGGTGCCTGATTGGCAGCGAACGCGGGGACCTAGAACTTGACGTTTTTGCAGCCATCCAGTTTGCAATCTGTTGCTCACCGCTATTTCGGGTAGCTTTCTAATGAGGATCCCTTCTGGGGAGGTCCTTGTACAAGGTGCCATACTATAGAGGGTCCAAAGGCGCCCTAATTTAGACGCCCGGGCGAGTTTGCCAAGGCTGACTGGGCTCATCAAGATGTGGAGGGCAGAGGCACAAAGGGTTTTCGAAGACCCCTACACCCTACACCCTAAACCCTAAACCCTAAACCGACTTCAGCGTAGTCTCCGCACCGACTCCCGAGGTGCTCGGAAAGTTCCCGGTGATTCAGCATTTCCTGTTTGGACCTACACTGCCATGGCCCGGCGTGCGGATCCTAGGAGCTCACAGAACATTCAAGGAGTATCCTTACGCATGAGTTCATTGTGAGCTCCACAGGCGCGAGCTTCATCAACGGCCCTCGCGTGAGACGACAGCTTGTGCGTGGGCAAAAAGTTTTTTCGCGACTGCCGGCATCAAGTTCCGATCGAAGCCTCTTAGCGACATGCCGCAAGCTCCATGCGCGAACCGGTGGCTTCAGCAGGCGCAGAGCCAGTCGAGAGGGGTCGGATGCCTGAGACGGTTCCATATATATAATATAAGATAATATCATATAATATTATTTTATGTCAAATGAAATCGAATAAATTACATTAAATTATACTATATTATATGATATCAAGCAAGCTCCATGTTGGAGATGTATGGTGTGTGCGCGTGCAAAGGTTCTCAAGCACCAGACCGTCTTGTCCTTTTCACTTGAGGACCGCGCTACGTCACAAAGTGTACGATCAGTGTCAGGTTTAGGGTTTATTAAGGTTTAGGGCTACCCCAAGACCGAACAAACCAGGGGCGAGGCTGTGGTAGGACTAGGTGTCCTGACCATGTTGTGTTTGTGCGATTCTGAGGAATCAGCACCAAGTCTCACTGAAGCCGAATCCGGTATCCACTTGTAAAAGCTCCCACAATAATCAGAACAAGCACAAACCATGAACAGCCGAAGAGAGGTGTCAACAAGCTCGGCACTTGCCCCACATATATATATATATATATGTGATATGTATATAATATTATATATATATATATACATATACATGTCCAACACTGATACTCTGCGGTAAGCCAAGAGAGACACGAACACTGACCTGGCCGAGGAGATCTGCTACATGCCACGAATCCACAAGCTGTTTGCGATGCGGCTCATACCGCATATTGACAGCTCCGTGGCCCCTTTGAACCTTTCAACCCCAAACACTAAACCCCAAACCTTCTCAAGCAAGTCTTTGTGTATGAGGTATCATCGCACATGCCACAGCGACTTGCTGGCGGCTGCTCTGAAGACCGATGAGGCTCTCAGTCCATGTAGAGTTGTATATGGAGTTTAGGCTTTAGGGTTCGATGTCATATGCTTGCGCAGAAGTCTTAGGGTTTGGGGGGCAAAATAGAACTCAGCAAGTGTTGAGCCGTCGCAAGATTGCCAGGATATGCCGGTGCGTCTGCCACCACGCAGCAGAAAGAAGGCAAAAGGGCCTTGATTACTATAAGCGTCGTTTCAGGACGTGCTAGGCATTTGGCATGGGCTATGTACATTGTTACACTGTTAGTTGCACCGTTTGTGGCACCGGCGTCGTTCTGAATTGGGTCTATGTGTCTGCGAACTGCAGGAAAAGTCTTCTCATGGAACTTGGACTTGGACGAAGCCCGACCAGAAGCAGAAGCCTCGGGCTTTCTAGCGGTTCAATCGGTATGTATGGGTACTTCCGAACAAAGGGGGCCTCTTGAAAACCACACAATACGATGAGTTCTTGTCCTAGGAACCTTAGTTTTCAGGAATCAGCCTTTGAGAATCTGCAATTTGTAAGGCTGGAGCTCTCCTACCTGCCAGCCTTCCGGTCTGGGAGCCAGTTCTCACCCATGTTCTCACACGTTCTCGCCGTAAACTCGTGTATCCTGCGCACGGGTATTGTAGGCTCTTCCAGACGACCGAAGAGCTCAAGTCTCAGCCAGCACAGTCAAGCTGCGAGGGTACAAGTCCTCAAGCGGATGCTGCGCCGCTCGTGACGTCACATGAGGTGCTCGGATTTGAAGAGTATGCTGAAGCCAGAGATCAACGCAGGCGGAGACAACGTGGAGGCACCTCGGACATTGGGAGTTGGATGATCTTTTGCTGCTATTGGCATTTGTGAAGCAATGTTGTCTGCAAGGCTCTGCCCCAGCACGTATTCTTGGTGATGCCATGGCCTCAGCAGTTCTCACCCACGTCGATGCTGGATGCATGTTGGGTGGCGCATCAAAGTCCAGAAGTCGCCAATTTGTTGCCCAGGTCCTACTCCATTTCATCCGATCTCTCCTGCCGACAGTCACCAAAGGTTCATGAAGCAGAAGAGGCCAGATCGATGTGTGAAATTCCCTTGCAACTCGAGCTCAGTGCCAGCACTGCAGTTTGCGGTGGTTACTTGCAAGGGTAGTGATCTCCTAACAATTCCTAAACCCTAAACCCTGATCTCTAGGCCATTGGCAACGGACAGCTCGATCCGAGTGCCCCGGGCTTAGAGAAGCTCAAGGTCGGCGGCTTTGCTTGCCCATCGGGTTTTAACATGCTTTCGGGAGGTGGGTCGTTCCCAAAATAGGCAGGGGTACCGCGTTTGCACCCAACTGGAACAGAATCCCTGTAAAGTGACCTCGCAAAAAGGGTACCCCGCCCCCATCTTCCGAAACTCCCCCCAGGCGGTGTTTTGGGAAACGCGTCAGCAGAAGATCAAGCGGCAACTGCGGACCTGGCATTTTGTGAGTGCCTTGGGAACCAAATGAACCCTAAAATTGGAGTCATAATCTGCCCTATACCTACAATAATCCTATTAAGGTACATGAACCATAAACCCTTTTAGTGTTCATTTGGTCCCCAAGGTGCTAGTTTCCATCACATACGAGCACGCGAGTTGTTGTGAAGCAGGCTTTGGCATCCTGCAGACATCATTTGCGCTTGCAGCTTGGTGACCATGCAAGTGCTTGTAGAGCAGCATGGAGTCTGTGTTGGTTCTCAGGTGCAGGGAGTCCAAAGCATTGGATACAACGAGAGGTGCAGTGAGACCCACGGAGAGTGGTTCAGCCCGTGTCCCAGAGATGAGCGCACGGTGTGACGTTCTGTTTCAGGGTTGAGCGCATCTGATCACCGAAGGCAACGATGAAGAACCAGTGATGCCGCGCCTTCAGACAGGCTTGTGGAAGGCTAAAGATTTATGTCATGGCCTTGCAGGAATCATCTCGTACACTTGTACAGAGAGCTGGCGATGAAGAACTACGGCCTGGCCTTCAGACATGAGGAATAAGAGTGTGACGGGCACTAATAATAAGGGCACCACAGGGGATGCAGTAATCAGGTGTGGCTTTCTCTCCCGCGATGAAGCTTCCTGGGAGCTCATCAGTTTGCTTGGGCAATGCCGCAGCGCAGCTGCAACCCAGTACCAAGTCATGTTGGCCTCGCGATGAGGTATGGTGGCTGTCAGCGTGTGTCGCCCGAGGTATTTTGGAAGCGATCCCGATGGCAGGCCTTCGTTGTCTTTGCGTACAGTGCCAAGTCAGAAATTCTGACTCAGAATTTGACGACTCTGTACGGGTGTGTCAGTTGGGTCCTGTTTCTTGCTTTTGCGTGGGGGTCTGAGCCTGCAGTTGAAGAACTTCTGGGCCGTGCCGAACTGTGCTGTTTGCACAGAGCTTGCAGCCAAGCATGCTCGGGCATCCTTGTGTCCGAAAGCATCTGGCGTGGTAACCTGAGGCTCACATCCCGGATGCAATGTCCTGACCTGGTGGTGTGCTGCAGCAAATCGCCTGGTGTCTATGCTGTTGAGTGGGGCCAGCGGCCTACGAAGAAGCCGTTCCCAAAGCCAGTGGACCCCTGGCGATCCAGAGCCACAGGTGAGCAGCTTGACAAGGAGGTGCTTTTGAACGAGCCTGCATCCAAGAGGGCAGGACGTTGCCTTCTCATGCTGGAGTTTGCAATGATAAAACCCGAAGCGCTTGGCCTTTGCCTTTCCAGGCTGGCCCCATTACAGTGCCAACTTTTGCAGCAAGCAGCAGAGCAGGATGCAAGGCCTCCCATAGCCCCATAGGGCGACACTGCAAATCACTACAATCCTATCTACATACTAGTGCCTGAGCCCACTGCCATACTCTGTACTTGTCAGGCCTGTTTGGTGCGGAGATTTCGGTCTGCCGGCGAAAGAAGCTCGGCAATCAAGCAGGCATAGGCTGAAGTAGATCCGGACACTCATGGAGCCTTCCCCGCGAGAGTGAAAGCAGCACTGTGCCTTTGCCACAAAACATCTTGCCGGACTGAGGATTTGTTGGAAGGGTTGGCCCAGGATTGGGAGGTGCAGCTCCAGCAATCTGGCGGAGTGACACTAAACCCTAAACCCTAAACTCTAAACCCACTATGGGAAGGCCATGGATCCCTCATCGACCATCCCTGCGTTCAAGACCTCACAGGCGAGGTCAAGAAGCGCCGTGTAAGCAACATAGTATTTCGTGCTGCGCTGATGGAGTCCAAAATGTCCCAAATCTCCTTAACCCTATATATGATTGTGGGATGTTATGGGATTTAGGGCTATATGCTGGCTATACATATATATATATATATGTGTATACATATATATATATGTATTATTTATATTATATGAATGACCCCAAACCCCATAACATCCTAGAATCCCGTAGCACCTCCTGCAAGGCTGAGTCTGGCCTTTGGCGTGAAGCTGAGCTTGGAAGCAGTTTGCCACTTCAGCTCCGCTGAAGCCCCCCCCCCCCCCCCCCCCTGCTCTGAAACGCTATAAGCCCCACTGCAACTCTTAATCCCTTAGCCCAGCATAGCATGGTCCCCCTGAACCCTACAACCGGGCGGCAAGAACAAACTGTACCCTAAACCCAAAACCCTAACACCTAAACCCGAAACCCTAGGCGGAGTGCCTGCCACAGCCTTTTGGGCAGAAATCCTGGCACGTGCGCTTCCAGGCCCGGCGTGCCTGCATGCTACATAGGGCTGTTTAGGATGGTTTAGGGTTTTAGGGTTTAGGGTTTAGGGTTTAGGGTTTAGGGTTTAGGGTTTAGGGTTTAGGGTTTAGTTTTACCTGCCGGGTGTCGGTGATTCGGCTCTCTCTCCCTCTCTCTGTCTCTGTCTCTGTCTCTCTCTCTCTCTCTCTCTCTCGCTCTCTCACTCTCTCAGACAAACACCACCACCACCACCACACCCACCACACACGCCACCACAATGTACCCCACACCTTTCAACACCACACCACACCCCACCACACCCCACCACACCCCACCACACCCCACCACACCCCTCCACACCCCTCCACACCCCTCCACACCCCTCCACACCCCTCCACACCCCTCCACACCACACACACACCACATCCCGCCATATCCCACCACACCCCTCCGCCGCGCCACGCCACGCCACACCACACCACACCACGCCACACACGCGTGCATGCACGCATCACCGTTCTTCTCACAGGGCAGGCACAAAAAGGGTAATTACACTTGCGCGGCCATCCGGTGGGGTCATCCGGTCCTTTATGCTTCCTATCGCCTAGGTTTTTTTTGGGGGGGATTTCTGTTTTAAAGGTATACGTGTAGACGAGCTATGACGGCTGTTGGAGCCGAGAGTGAGCCAAGGTTCGTCGAAGGGGCAAACTCCGACCTCATCCTTCATGGCGGATCGATGAAGCCGCCATCTTCCCAGTGAATCTGGTGGTTTTAGACAACCCAGAGAGTCCAACTTCCCCTTTTCAAAGGGGCAATTCTCCTCAAATCAGAATAGGATCCCTATGTTGCCATGCAAGGTCAGATTCCAGGAGTACAGTATTCCCGAATTAAGTAGGGTTTAGGGCCCAGAACCCTAAATCGAAAACCCAAATAAACCCAAGAGATACTAGAATACTGGAGCACTGGAGTTGTTTGGGGAAGGCTGGCAGTGCTGACGGGATTTCCTCGAGCTTGCGAGCGGGAGCAGTCTGAGACTCAGGGAGCCTCGGAGCCTGGTCATGTCTCTTGCTTTCTTTACATCTACATCTGCTACATTGCTCTATTGCTCTATTGCTACATCGCTCTATTGCTACATTGCTATATTGTTTTCTTGCCATAGTGCTCTATGATTGCGACTGTGGTTATTCCAGTGGTGGGATTTGCCCATGGCTTTGCAGATGGCAGAAGTCGCAGACAAATTGAGGCTGAAGTGCGTGCAGCTCTTGCGCAGTGCGGCGCTCATGCTGTTCGCCAAGCATGGCCCATAGCAAGCTTTGGGGAGAAGAGACCGACACCGCCAATAGTGGGCAACGCAGCCTGCGCTGTAATGCTTGGCAGATCGAGTCGAAGAATGCGTTATATATGCTTTCCACCAGCAGTTGGAATCTGCAAGCAGCAAGAAGGGCATTGTGAACCAGATGCTGCTGTCGCCAAGGCGGCTACCCTTCAGACCACCTGTTGCAGTTGGCAGCTTGTCTTTTGGAATAAGGGACAGCCAAGCCTGCGTTGTTATGCACGGGTTTAGCATGGCATAGCGACGTTTACACGCAGCTGCGGGGCGGTCGTAGGGTAGGATGCTGCAGAAAAAAAAAGAAGCTGCCCTTTTGCTGCCAAGCCTCAGGCTGTGTTCACCGAAGCCGATGTTAAGAGTGAAGAGAAGGCCCACCCCGCGATCTGCTGCTATCTGCGATCTGCTGCTATCTTGCCAACGTTTAAGTCCTGAAAACGAAGATGCATGTAACATGCATGCAGTGCATGCAGGCAGCCGTGGCAGACCAAGCCCATCGTGCCCAGCAGATTCCTCAGTCTGGCTTTGTGATGCCCCGCTGTATCTTGTTGCCTCTACTGTCTGAGACTAGCCGACAAAACAGGGCCATGCAACCTCAGGGACGAGACTGTGGACGGTACGGGCGCGACCGGGACGACAGGGACCACGGGTACCCTTGCTGGCGCCATTGGCTCAACTGGCTCCACCGGCTCAGCTCCACACGAGGCAGGCTTCCGAACCGTAGAGGCACATTACTAAAATTTTAAAAACAATGACTTGATCAGGAGATCAGTGAGATCGATCACAGCCGCACCTGGCGGAAGACTCGAGTAGGCCGGAAGCAGTGGCGGTCTTTCCGACCTGACGCCCACTGAATTCAGTGTGAGCCGCAGACTGTACAGCGCGGCCAGATAGATGACGTGCAGACTGCAAACTGCACGTGTGCACTCCTAGATGAGTCTAGCATCCTCTCAAGGTCTTGCTGCACCACTGCGCACCTTTATGCTTGGGGCATACTTGTGAAAGTTTTCTGTCCCAATCCGTCAGCACACCATAGCCCACTGCAGGCATAGCCTCATTCAGCCGTTGGTTTTTGCTGACACAGCTGCCGCTCGGCGGAGCTATAGGCGCAGTGCTCCGGAAGACCCCCAGAAGCGTAGGCCGAGAGTTCTCGGCCCTGTGGCTTCTTGATTCAGGCTAGACGTGACTTAGACGTGTGGCTTTTAGATGCCACACATGTGCAGGGAATTCAGGGCGAGGTCAGCATCCCGAAGGCCTTAGCAGGGTGTCTCCTGTTCATTCCAGCCTGCAACGAAGTCGTGCGGGCCTCGCCCAAGAAGAATATTGGATGGAGAGCCATTGAGAACCATGTTCCATCAAGGACGATGAAGGGCAAATACACGCGTCAGGGCGAAAAGAGGCTCGCTCTTCACTCGCGGTCGATGCACTTGGCCCGGCTGACGAGTTGATCTCGGAGCAACCACGGCAATCCACATGTTGGCGAGTTTGTGCATCCGTCTGTCGACATCTCCGACTGCAGAATCTCGACTTTCCATCGGATTCTGTTTTCTTGGAATCTTAAATGTTTGTATGAGCCCGAGGCCTTTAGGTCTATTTAGCTTTGCGTGGCTTGTGCTCATATCAAAGCCAAATATAAATCTGAATATGAATATGACCACGTATATAAGTATATACATATGCATATATATATTTATGTATAATACATGTGCACACGCAAATTGTTTCCTGCGCCCCTGTCTTTGACTGTCGTTTCGCTTGTATGTGACCTACGCTTGCATCCTGAAAAGTGGTTTTGCGTATTTTGATGTCACTGTGCCTCATGTTCATGTTTTTTGTGTACTGCTTGCCTATGCTTTCACATGCAGTTTCGTCTGTTACGCGCCAGGAAGAAGTCCCTACCCTGCATTGCGTAGTGCTTGCCCATGTTGATTTGTGAATTTCTTGTATCTATACGACAGTCACCATGAAATAACCCCTACACCTCCAGTCTAAAAAACGGTTTTGCGTGTTTTGTTGTCGCTTTTCTTCGTGCTGATGTTTCTGTGCATTGCATGCCCATGTTTTGGACTTCAGTTTCGCTTGGATCTAGAGCATGAGCAAAGGAAGCTCCCCACACCATCTTCTGACGATTGATTTTGGAGTGTTTTGTTATGCTTCTTGTTCACGTTGGTGCTTGTGTATACTGGCTGCCTAGGTTTTCGATTGCGATTTTGCTTTAAGCCCTCAACCCAAAACCCTCAACCCTCAACCCTAAACCCTAAACCCTCCCCAAACCGATCATGTATTGGGTATCCACCAAAGAACCTCCAAACCATCCTGCATTTCTAGGCTTAGCCGCGTGCCATCACAAAACCACCCACTGTCCTTTGTATCTGCCGGGAATGTTTATACCTCTGTATTTTTTCAAAAGCCCAATAGGTTAGGATTGCAGTGGCTTGAGGCATGAGGCTTCAGATGACTTGTGTTTGAGGAGAGATGGGTACGCGGGTGTGAAAGGGGTAATGGTGGGTGGAAGGGGAGGTCTCTTGCCCCCCCCTTCCCCAGGACCGTCCTACCAACTCCTAGCCATGCCCAACCCCCTCCCTCACAGAAATGGGTAAGGTGTGCAAGGGGGTGGGAGTGGGTGGGAGGTACTTCAAATGGCCTTTTGCTGGATTTTGCAGCCCCTATTTGAATTGATTATGAGTTTACCGTATATCTTTTTGAATACATAAATAATTGAAATGGACCTATTTGAATTATGCAACTGTTTGGGTTCGGAGATCTGTTTTTGTTTCGGAAAGCCTTTTTACGGATTGAAATCATTTACATAATTTGCATTTTAATAGCTTCAGTTTTGAATTTTCACCTTAATTATTCAAGACAAATTAATTCTTCATCGAAATCCGGAAATGCCTTGTACGGGCTTAACCAAATCAATAGTATTTCGTAACTTGCTTTTCTTTTTGATTTTTCACCTTGTTTAAATTCATGTGCGCATTTTTTGAAAACACTAAATCATTTTCATGGTTGAATGGACCCATTTTAAGTATTTGAAATATTGAAATCCGGAAGTCCTTCTTTGCGGATCGAAATATTTCCAATAATTTCAACGGCCTTTAATTCAGATTTCACCTTGTTTGAAACAATCTACAAAATTTAATTTGCTCAAATCCACCAATCTTTCTTAATAGCGGGTTTGAACAACTTTAACCAGTGAATTTTTAAGTATTTACAAATATAAATCTGAAAGTCTGATTTACGGCCAAATTTAATATTTGAATGGTTGAAATTATGAAAGCCAATCAGTGTTTCTCTGCCAAAAAAGGGGTGCTAAATAGACCCGAAAGGCCGCCTCTCTCTCACGTTTGCATACTTCTGTCCAGCTCCGTCCATCAGTCCGTCCATGCATACCAGCTCGTGCTGCGCAAGTCACCCAATCTGCCCTCCCTGCCATGCCGAATGTCGCTACCCTGGCCAGATCCCAGCGCTGTCGTGACGCGGATTGCCAACCTAACTGAGAGGGCAGTCACCGTCAAACAGTTGAGGCAGCTGGCACTGTTTCTGCAGCGGCTGTGCAAGGCCCTCCTCCTCAAGCACAGCACAGAGCACTCCAAAGATAATGGGTGCTACGACGAATACATCACATGGTTTGATATCAACATGTACGACATCACATCGGAGGTCATCAAGAAGGTGATCCCCTATGTGAATCCTAAGATACAGGGAGCGCGGCACTCAAAGATTGCACAAGATTGGTGCAGTTGGAGTGAATTCGTTGCCCAACGGCCCCAGCCAGCGCGGCTGATGATCAGCCACTGGTGGGGAGGCAGATTCAGAGATTTCATGCGGGTGATTCAGGAGCTTTGCGTGGACGAGGCCCTGCCTGGCAGCACGCCCTTATGGGTCTGCACGTTTGCGAATAATCAGTGGGGGGAAGATTTTGGGGACCGACTCGCCAATTGCCCCTTCTACCGCACCGTCGCGGCTGCAGATATGACCGTGATTTGCCTTGAAGTTGCAGCGTCTTCAATGATAGTCTTTTCTGGCTTGTGACAGCCCCTCCAAAACCCGGAGCTTAAAGAGCCTCAGGTCCTAATTGTGGATCGGTCAGCTGGATCGCTTGGCAGAGTCTGGTGCGGCTTGGAACTCTATTTGACCATCCAGTCTCAGAAGCGATTGCTGATCTACACCCCGTCAGGACAGGGTGCAGCGCGTACACGTTATTTGGGGCTGCCGTAGAAGGGTACCCTTCTTGAGAAGTTCCTATAGTCAAGGCTATCGTATCTTGGGAGCATACAAGGGCACCCCAATTTGGGCAGGGCTTCTGTTGCCACTTCGGCAGGAATTGTTGGTGTATGGCGCGATCTGAGAATGCTTTTCATTGCTACTACTTGGAGGTTCATGGGTACTTGAACCACAGTTACAATTAGTGTTATAAGTACCATTAAGTACCCATGAACCTCCAAGTGGTAGGACTGGTTGGCCACTCCTCCGGGCGAGCCTCTTCGGGACCGCTAATCGAAGCTATCAAGGCTTGGGATATTCGTCAAACCAATGCTTCGGAGGTGGCCTGTTGGCACTTGTTGGCATTCCCAGTTGAATTGCAACAGGGCTTTTATGATCATTTTATCAGGTTGTTAGGGTCAGCAGTCAGCAGATGCAGCGGCACTTTCGGCGATGTTGCTGAGGATGCGTACCGCCGCCAGATCTTGAATTACATCGCTGACGTGGATGAGTTTCAAGGCCTCCAGGTGGCGACAGATGGACGCTTGGTGCGTGATCATGGTGAGGACCTGAACATGATGGTCCGCGTGGAGGTATATGCTACTGTTGGGAGAAGTCACATTCTGCGTGGCTGCCGGGTTCCACGGAAGGAGCACCGAGGCTCGCAAGCGCAATTGCCTGCTCAACCTTTGGCGGAAGCATGCATTATTGGTTGGGTTGGCAGATTTTTTTGTTTTGATATTATTGTTTTTTCTTCTTCTTACTCTTCTGATTATTAGTACTTTTATTATTATAGTTGGAGAACGAAACTCTCAGCTGTTTTCGCGCCGGGGCTCCGGTGCCGCTGCGGGCTGGAGTGCCCCATCCCATCCCCTGGAGCATCCCGGGAGGGTCCAGCTCAGTCCCAAACCCAAAGCCCGGTAAAGTCTGCAAAAAACTGTAAAATAAGAAGCTCAAGAGTTGCCACGTTCTGAACCCCAAAGCCCCAAAAACTAGACGAGGGGGTGGTTGTGTGGGGGCGTTTGCGGGGGGGGGGCAGGGCGGACCACAAATTGCTTGGTTTTAGGGTGGCACTTGAGTCGTTGACATTGGCCAAGCGTATCCCAGCGTTCTATAAATGAGGGCCCTCGTCCAAATTAGCCACAATAACTTTGACGCGATGAGTAGCACTAGCTGATTTTTTTTATGGCAGTGCATGATTTTTGGGTTTGAACTTGAAAAATATGTTTTTTTCGTCTCTGCCTTGGCATCGCTCACCCCTTTATCTCTCCGAATTTGCTCAAGTTTCCTCATGGGCGGCCATCATCCCTTGTTAAGCCTAGTTGCAGTGACATGCGAAGTTGGGAGGTTTACCAGATCAACTCTGCATCCCGTGCATGCATTGCGTACCCTGAGGTGTGAAGCTGGGACAGTGGCGGGCATTTACGCGCCAAGCTGAGGCCGGCCATGCAGAAGTACGAAATGTGAAGCATCTGCCTCGTGCCTGTGGTAACGCGTTATATAGTCTCAAGTTGACTGTTGACAGCGCAAATTGCCGGTATGTTCTGCAACAGCACCGTGCTGGTGGAGGCTTCCTGGTATCAGCGCTTCGGCTCAGAAACGCACCAGGCAGACGTCGCTCCATCTGTGAGTTTCGGAGACGCTGACGTCCGGATGATCTACAGCTCGTTCGTTCAGCCGCGCATCAGTGCGGCAAAGCGTGCCCAGGCAATGAAGTTGCAGTGTGATGCCTGCAAGCCCAAATGAACCTCTGAAGCCTCGGTCAGATATTTCCGGGACCTCAATGTTTAGTCAAAATGGCTTTGTGGACTTTCCTTCTTGTTGATCTGCTCGCCGAGGTTCCTACATGGAGGTCGTTTCAGATGGCCCACAGCTGCCAAAGTACTATGTCAGTCTGTCGTGGGGCACTCGAATCGCTGACGCCGCAGCTGCGATTGAACCTTGCTTATGGCTTTGACAGCTCATTCCTCCTGCTGTCTTCCCAAGCCGACTCAAGCCTTAAGGCCACAATGCTTGGGGGGAGGGAGGTGCTGTTCTAAATTAGGATCCGTAACAAAAAGCCTTTTTTTGAGCAGAGTCCCTGAGCCGAATCTTGCCGAAGTCCGGGCTCAGCTTCCGATCCCTTCACTCACTCAGACTGAGGACTGGTGGGCAGAAGCTCTGCACTTGCCTGACTCGGCGGTGCTTTTCGTGGACTTCTTGTCCGCTGGGCCAGAGAAGTCCGAGGGAGCCTGTGACACAGAACCCACGGAGCACATCAAGGGAGTTGCTTTCCCGGCTGCCGATGAGCTCCTGGAGTGCCAGGCACTTCAGAAGTCATTTTGTAAAACTTCCCAAAGAGCCCAATACCCTTTAATTTAAGGAATAGACCCTAGATCATATGAAGGATTCCGATGTAATTGAAGGTCTATTCTTTAGCTAAGGGGTTTTGAGCTCTCTGGATTGCTCAAATCTCCAGGCGATGTTGGGAGTCCTCGACCATGATGCTCCCGAGATGACAAGCGCGTGGCGGTTTCTGGAGTTCGAGTTTGCGTCGCGGAACGGCTTCCCAGCAGAAGAGAGAGTCAACAGAGCCAGACTTTGAGCACCTGTTGCTGCTGCATGTCTAAGTTTCATTCAGTCTACGACCATCTGCCACATCCTCTGACTTGCCTCTTCCTGTGTACAGGCTTAGATATCTACCTGGCCTGCGCAACAGGCAGCATTCTGCGGACGCACGATCATGTCTGATCAGCAATCGTTGCTATCGCTGTTTTCTGGGGGCCAGCCAGACTTCACACATATTTCCGGGACACGGCGCCTTTCTGCAACATGCGGTTCATGTAAGTCTGATCTCGCTAAAGTCAGTTTGCCAGGGGCGCTGGCATGCAGCTGCCCATTCGCTGACGGCAGTTGGGTTTTCGGCAGGTGCTATCTTCTGCGCAGTCCTTCAGCCATTCCAATGACAGACGCCATGTTCAAGCCATTTAAGTGTCCAGCTTTGGGAGACTCGATGTGTAGGTTCGATGCTGACATTGGACGCAGCATGCAGCATGTTTCGAGCCGCAACTGCAGAGCTGAAGCCCGCGAGCTCCGAGCCATCAAGGACCCGACAGCTTTGTTCTGCTTTTGGTGTATCAGTTCGATGACACAGGCCATCTTCACGATAAGTGGTGGCCTCACAGGTAGAAACTTGCGGAAACATGTGGAAAGCAATGCCAGGACTACTTCGAATCAAGGGGACGCCTGGTTCGAATAGACTCATTGGGGGCATTGGTCATTGGTCGTCTTTTTCAAGGGCAGCACACAGCCTTGAGACTCAAGGAGCGATGTGACAAAAGAAGTTCTTGTGGCAGGTATTTGCGTTTCGACACAATATGTCAATGATGTCAAGGCCATGGCCAAGCAATCTACGATCAAATTGATCGACGGTTCCAGCGCTGGGGAGCAGGCGGTCGTGCAAGACACGACATTCCGCAAGCATGTAGCCAGTTCAGTGCAGCGTCAGCACATGTCAGCATGCAGGCCCGGTGCTGCGTGAAGCGGCGGAGTGCGATGACGAAGAGGAGTTGTAGCAACTGCTTCTGTGATGCTGCATGTCGGTACAGGAACAAGAGTTTGCAGGAGGTCAAAGCCATTTGCATGAACCCGTCCCTCGTGATCAATGGCTGCAGTCGGTGTCTCTGATGTCCCCCCGTGGCTGCCAGTGAGCTACCGCATGCCACCTATCAGTGCTGCCTTGCCGTCTTAGGCTTGCAAGGTGCCCACAGCGAAACAGCTCTGCACATTGCAGCTGCGGCGGGTTCTATGGAAGCCATGCGAGCACTCCTGCCACTTGCCAACGAAGGGAGCGTCAAGCGCACCACAGCAGCTCCGACGTCGGACGACTTGTGCATTCACACTGCAGCCACTGCAGATAATGTGTGATATTCTGTGTTCGCTGAGGAGGCTGCATGCAGACCCCAATGCACAAGACCAGCTGGGGGAGACCCCACTGCACTACGCAGCCCTCGCCGGCCAAAGTGCCGCCGCAGCTCTGCTCCTCGAGGCCAAGGCCGACAAGGGAGAACACGTGCAGAAAGCCACGAGGGAATTTGCGAAAATAGGGGAGCCCTAAAATTGACCCCCTAAAATTGACCCCCCAAGTAGTAGGATTCCCCTGATAATCAGGACCCCAATAAGGTACCCCTATTTTCGGAAACCCCCTTGTAGAAAACCAGGGATTGCCGTCGTTAAGCCCGTTATGCCAGATCCAGCACTTTTCATCAGCTTCGTTGCCAAGGTTGCAGCATGCCGTCTCTTCCTTCACTGGACTGGGCTCAGCATGTTCGGGAAACGCATTTCTTGCATTGCCCCGTCAGGCCAATATCCTCTGCGAAAACTCGCTCGCCCAGGACTGCTCAGATGCAAAATGTCGGTCCCACATCATGCTGTGCATGCTGTGCCCTTGGGCCGACGTGAACATTCTCTTCGTGTTTATCAGGATCCATTGTTCGTGGCCCAGCAGACACATGGCTGCAACGGGAGAACATGCAAGAATGACAGAGTGGTCTGCTTACGCAATTGCGAGGCTCGGAATCCGAATCCGAGACTGTCGCTAAGCCCGAAAACCGCGTTGTGCGTTTGTGTGGCTGCCCCTGGTATCTCAAGGAACCCAGCTGGCTTTCTCGGCATTTCCATGAGCAGCTTTGCCGGTTTTCCACTCCAACTTGCTGCTGTGTAGCTGGCGAAAAGCAGAGGGGCCTTGCTTGATGGTTTTGGCACGTTAATCTTACAACATTCGGTAAAGTGAGGCACATGGCTGCATGTTGGCACCCAGCTGGACAAGTAGATATCTTATGCAAGTAGATCACACTCGCAACATGGCGTCAGAACCCTTCAGGGGTCGCATGACATCATGGCACAGCATCTTGCAGCATGAGGCAAAACACATCTCAGCACACATCAGTTTCATGTTCTTACTCTATGCGAGTGACAGCCGGTTGGCCTCCCAGAGCTGATATGTGGGCTTGGCGGCCATGACTTACTGGAGAGTTCCCGAAGGCTTCCACAGAATCTATTCTCTGACAAAAGATTGCCCCTGTCTTCCGCACGAGTTCCGCACGTGAGGAGGAGAAGATGCAACTGTTTTCGCGCTGGCCCAGCTCCTGCAGTCCCTGACCCAGTCGGCACAACGTAATCTTTACCTACTTGTAGCTTCCTGCTCGGACCGGCTAGAGAAGGAGTCAGTAGCATGCTGCACCTGTCTGCATGGTACATTCCCTAAAATGTACTGCTGCGGGCGCATCCAGGCATGCAAGGACTTGACTTCACAATCCTGTCAAAGCAGCAAAGCAAGGGCATCCCCCAGCCCCAACGTAGTGCAGAAAAGGCCCCCCCCCCCCCTTTCTCCCCCCTTCGCCTCATCCGCGCCATCTCTCCATCCGGTTCTGGGGGCTGGGCGGAGAGCTAACAAATGGCTTAGTTTTTGGGGTTACCTTGCTTGGCACCTTCGTATTGGTTCCCTCCTCATTGTACCCTGGTCTCTTTAAACTTGGGGTACAGACATGAACACCTTTAAATTGGTTTTTCAGAACTGTCTTGTGCTGATTTATCGGCAGTTTTATGGGCTCACATTAAAAAATCCGTGAAAATCAGTACAGCTACAAGACATAGCAAGAAAAATGGCGACCAGCACCCCCCATTATTTGGATGACAGTCCTTAATAAGGAATATAATACGGGGTACTAAGTAATGTTGCACCCGGTTTAGTGTGGGCGCCCCCCCCCCCCCCCTGAACAGTCGCGGGGGTGGATGGGGTCCTGAATAAACGGCCCCGGGATTTTATATGATTTTAATAGGGAGGAGTTTAGATAGACTAAAGAAGGATCCATATGAATCTAAAAGGATAAGCAATAATTAAGTAGTAATTAGTAATTCGTAGTAGTAGCAGTAGTAGTAGTAGTAGTAGTAGTAGTAGTAGTAGTAGTAGTACAGGATTTGGTTTTCAGGATTGAGCGTTTTAACTTAGTTTAAAAGCAAGCCCCAAATCCAAAAACAAATCCGGATTTCGGGAGCGGTTTGTCTTTATAGCGGGAGCCCCAAACAGTCAGCATGTCCTGAATAATTCGGCCAGTTTGTCTTTAAAGCGGGGGCCGATACTAAACCGGGTGCAACATTACTACAATCCCTATGAATCTATGAAGGACTGTTAGTATAAGGGCAAGGAGGAACATCCTAAGTCTTGGGTATATTTAAGGGTAACTTGTCCACAGACCCAGGTGGAGTGGCGGGAGCCGACCAGCCAGCGCTGTCGGCTACATCTACCGAGAGGCATCATCCTGATGTGCAACACTGCGCAGGGTCTCCCCTCTCCCTGCCTTCCGCTCCCCCTCCCTTCCCCTCCCTCCCCCGCTGTCTCTTTCTTCAAGTCTTTATTCATGTTTTTTTAAATTGTTTTTTTTGTTTTTCTCTCTCTCTCTCTCTCGCTCTCGCTGTTTTTGTCAGTTGTAGCATTCTCTCCGCAGAAGCGCTGCAGCTCCGGGCTTGCCAGGAAGGCGGCAACCTCCACCGCTGGGTGGTGCAGTCGTACGGAGGCGTACAGAACTTCGTGGCTGCCCATGCAGACGTGCGGTAGCCCAGGTTTAGGGTTTAGGGTATAGGGTTTAGGGTTTAGGGTTTAGTTTTGGAAAAAAATGCGTAGTATGGTGCACCAGCATTCTCGTGCCGAGGTTTTCGCTTTGGAACCAAGGAAGCCAGGCAGGATGCAGCAATCATGCGGCTACGCAAGTGAGAGACATCGAGACTTGATCGAGGCTCGGCTGGTTTGCCTGGGCTCAAGGTGTCTCAAGATAAACGGCATATCGGGCATGAAAACGCACCATACACTCGATGACTACATGCAAAGCCATGAAATCAAACCCGCGACAAGACACTGAAATCCTTTGCCCATCTCAGTCTGCAGATTGACCGACTTTCAACATCGACTGAGTGTGAGATGTGCTTTGCTAGCAGCCTCAGCCACTTCAAGCGGGCCATTGCAGAGGAAAGTAATCCGCATGGCGTTGCATGGCGTTAGGGTGCTTGAGCTGGAGGGCCGGGCACTCGGAAACTTTTCTGCCAGCTCCACTGCGCAGTCAGCATCTAGACGACACCCAGTCCACCACTGATCCATCAGAATCTAGTCAAGTCAAGATACATTTGTAGATTTTGTTTTATTATTCAACTATCTACTGTTGTCTTCTGTCTTTTTGTCTTTTTATCTTGTTTCTTTGCTCCCCAAATAGTCTACTGTTGGGGTTCTAAGTTCATTTAAGGATTGCCGACATTCTGAGGACTGTTGCCGGGTTCCTGGGCTCCTTGTCTCCCTTTTACTGTTCGGGGTCTTCGGTGGTGTAACTATCATGAAGCTTGTTATCTTGTTACAGATTATTACATATTAACATATATACCATATTATTTCACATTATTACATATTATTACATATTATTACATATTATTACATATTATTACATATTATTACATATTATTACATATTATTACATATTATTATATATTATTACATACTATTACATATTATTACATATTATTACATATTATTACATATTATTACATATTATTACATATTATTACATATTATTACATATTATTACATATTATTACATATTATTACATATTATTACATATTATTACATATTACGCATTGTTACATATTATTACAAATTATTACATATTATTACATATTATTACATATTATTACATATTGTTACATATTATTACATATTATTACATATTAATACATATTATAACATATGATTGCATATTATTACATATTATTACATATTATTACATACTATTACCTATTATTACACATTATTACCTATTATTACATATTATTACATATTATTACATGTTATTACATATTATTACATGAATAATAGTATATTTATTCTGCGACCAATCGAAGGTATCGGGCCATGCCCTCTGGCTGCGTGTGTCCTCGCAGACTTTGGGGCAGATGCCAGGGCCCTGCTCATGCATCTTGTCGGTTAAGGGCTTATAATGGGCTTATAGGTTTTCCCTAAACCCTAAACCCTAAACCCTAAACCCTAAACCCTAAAGGGGATTTATGGGGTAGCGGGCCTGCTGAAGGCTTTGTCATGGCTTGTCTATGTCCAAAGTGCTCACGTTGAGGTCGTCACTGTGTGCCGGGCGTTTTGCACTTAGAGTCAGGCTTCGATGAATGCCAGCTGAGATAGGGTTTAGGGTTTAGGGTTTAGGGTTTAGGGTTTAGGGTAGCCTGAGGCAAGGCGGCCAAGCACGCTCGCAAGGTGACCCGGTTTCCCGTGGCAAGCGCGCGGTCCTCGGAACAGCTCAGCTGCCAGTCACTCTTTGTGAACATTGTGCCTCTGAGGCTACTGAATATGGGAAAATCGAGCTTTGAGGGTTTTAAACGTTAAAAAAACCCTAAATCTGACACTACTGAATATGGGAAAATCAAGCTACAGAGTCAGCATTCTTGGAGTGGTCTATGAACGAAGTCCAAGTCCAGGATCAGTCGCTGTCGACATCAAAAGCGTAGATGGCGTGAAGGCAGGCTGGCCTATCCCCCTTGGGAATTATTTTCCATTTTTTGTTTATATGAAACTCAAGAGGATATTTAAAATAGTTTTTTATTAAGGTTCCAAGAGGAGTAAAGATGGGTGTGTGTTCTAAGTCAGGGTCTTTTTGGAAAGGGTGAGGTATGAGGGATGATACGCATGATCAGAGCATAGATATATTCTATATACTCTTACGTATACTGATTGGGTTTCTATATTCTATGCCAAAACATCCCTACATGCCCAACATCCGATGCGTCTCTGTGACGTCGTGATCCGACACTTCTAAGCTATAGAAAGTCTGACAACACCCTAAACTGACAAACAAAGCGCTTTAACCCTGAAATCTTAGACGCATCTGATTGACCACTGAGATTTTTGGCTTCCGACAAACAGTCCGTGTGCTTTTTGGGTTCAGGAAGGTTTGAGGATGTTTAAGGGAATGATTGGGATGGTTTGGGACTTCTCTTTAAAGCCCAATTGTGTGTGTGAGAGCCCATGTGCAGGTCATCCAGAAGCTTGCATCGACGGTCGACGTGTTCCTGGAGCCTTTCCGCCCGGGGGCCGTCATCTCAGAAATGTCTGGCGCCATTCTTCGGCACAGGTATGCAGCCTCTGAGCGGAGTTGTGGGGTTCAATACTAACTGACGCAGCGGCCGAAGGCAGCGGTTCACAGCGGCACACGCACACACGCACATGTGGTTCACACACGTTCGAGGAGGTGACTAGATGGGAGGAAAGTTCCACGCGATGACTGCGCGACTCGGTAGCTAACCGTCGATTTCCTGTGCGTCATCCCAATCCACATCATGGACTGCCCACCGCCACCTTGTTGGTATTCAACAAGAGCTTCCACAGACGCACATGTAAACCCAGTCATACCAGGAGCAGCTTCACTAAACAACATGCTGGAACACCATTGAACTGACCAGCGCCAAGCCTGAGCACGTGGTTTGCACAAGAAGCAAGATCAAACTTGAGGGCCACTAGCTGCCAAGGACCTTGTCTTTTCTCGCAGAAGCTTTCGGCGTCCGTCTTTGTACTTACGTGCCGCATTCACCTCCTGACTTTTCTCTGACGCTGTACCTAGCATATGAGCTATCGTCATTGCTACTCTGTTGTTCTTGCTTATGTTAAGTTGGCTATCGCTCAAGGTTAATGTTGTTTTGACTGTTCATGGCCCAAGGTGGTGGAGAAGCTTGGTTTGGGACCTGAGGCTCGGCAAACTGCCGCTAAGGTCAGGTTCAGATTTGTTTCGATGAGCAGGTGCTGTGCAGTCAGAATCCTCGTCTCATCTATGGCCGAATGACCGGCATAGAACTCAGAGCACATGATGCGCATCCCACTTGTGCATGTGAACGATGGGACCCCGAGGATACGGTCAAGGCGGAACGGAATTCAGTTCCATGGCCGGGCACGACAACAACTACCTTGCCTTGTCGGGCCTGCTTCTTATTTACCTTGGCGGTAGCAGCCACATGGGGGTTTGACAAAATGGGGATACCCTTCTAGGAGTCCTTGTCACCCATTATAGGAAACCCCCACATCCGAAGATGCCGGATGTGGTCAACATGCGGCCTGTGTGAGGCACTTTGGACTTCTTCAAGCGTGGTGATGAGAAGCCATTCGCTCCTGCGAACTTTGCTGGTGACTATGACCTGGCCTTACCCTACTTTTGTGCAATGCATCTGAACCACAAAATCGCATGAGCTAGGCAGGAGGAGCCATGATGCTGGCGATGGGTGTTCTTCTGGTTGGGACTCCAAGCGCTCAGCTTCTCTTGCGTCTTGCACCGGGGGCAGGAAAACCCTAAACCCCAAACCCGAAAACCCGAAACCCCAAACCCCAAACCCCATACCCCAAACCCGAAACCCTAAACCCTAAACCCGAAGAAGGTTGGGGATGTTGACTGAGGCCCTGCTCGAACGAAGCAAGAGCGGCTGCGGTCAGGTTATTGATGCAGCCATGATCGATGGGGCCAACTACACGGTGCCCCGATGTGCCAGATTTGTTGGGTTTAGGGTTTAGGGTTTAGGGTTTAGGGTTTAGGGTTTAGGGTTTAGGGTTTAGGGTTTAGGGTTTAGGGTTCAGGGTTCAGGGTTTAGGGTTTAGGGTTTAGGGTTTAGGGGTGGATTTGCAACAGCGTGTCCTTTGCCTGTGCTCTCTGACACTCAAGCCTGGCCTGCAAAGAGTTTCTGAGCAGGCGCTGCCGCTGTTCAAGTGGATGCAGTCTGGTTTTGTTCCAGCTCGAAACCCTGGAGCTTCTGACAAGCTTGTGGCTTTCTTACGCGCGTGTCGACTTGTAGCGCCGAGGTCGGAACAGATGGCCACGTAGTGGCCTCAGACTTTATCTTATGCCGGGGCCCTTGGGGAAGGCAAGGGGTGCTAGTCGAAGCTTGGCCTCACCCCTTTGTGTGTTGCTTAGGTCAGGCTCCGCACTGGTCAGATATATACCTCTGTAAGGAGGATCCGGCCGGATCCTCGAAGTCGGCACACATGTCCGATCAGCCTTGCCGAAGTTTTGATAGTTTCAGGCCAAGAAAGGCAGCCGCCAGTACGTCTCAGTGCGCCTTTGGGAACGGATGGGAGGTACAGAAGGTACAGTAGAATTCGATCTTTGCCAGCATGTGGGGGGCTCACGATATCAGCGGTACCTTTTTGGGGTCCTTACTTAAATGGGATCCTACTATATTTGGGGGTCTATGTTAGGGGTTCCCTCATTCTCGTAAACCCCTACGTGAACTTAAACTCTGACAGCCGTAATGTTCCCAGTTTTTCCCTAAACCCTAAACCCTAAACTCCCAGTTTTTCAAAGGTACAGGCGATCGAGCCCCAGTTCTACAAGGTGCTCCTGGAAGGACTTGGGCACCGCAGCTGCAGAAATGCAGCTTTGGGGGCATGTTTCAACCCGAAATCCTAGACAGCCCTGGAAAACCCTAAGAACCCTAAAATTCTTATAACCCTAGTAACCCTAATAACCCTACTAACCCTGATAACCCTAGTAACCCTAGTAACCCTAGTAACCCTAATAACCCTAATAACCCTAGTAGCCCTGGTAACCCTAGTAACCCTAAATCCCTAACTCCCTGGGCCGCATCCTAGGCTTGCAGGTGAAGAGCTGCCAGCACAGTGGGACAAGGAGGCCTTCCTTTTGCGCCAGCTCTTAAGGGCGAAAAACACGGCGTTTAAGAGGGTTACTAGGGTTGTTAGGGTTATTGGGGTTATTGGGGTTATGAGATTTTTAGGGTAATTAGGGTTTTAGGAACTGACAAAGAAATTCGGAACAGCGAAAGATTAGTTGGGGCTCAAATTTTCTGGATGCTGCTGAAGCAAGATGAAGCAATTTAGCAAGGCCTGGCCTGAGATGAAATCCCGCTTCGCCGCGATATTCCAAACCAAGACCCGCGACGAATGGGCGATTCGCTCAGAGTTACGGCTCACCTGAAGGCTCCAATGTAGTTCCTATTTGGGTTAGTAACAGGGGATTCTTGGATACTACCCCAAAAAGGTACTACATAGGAGCCTTTGGGCAGAGACATCCAGGGAGGCGCAGCTCCTGATGTTGATTGCTCCCCATGGTTTACCATTCTCCTTTAACAGACCAGCACGTTCCGAGTTGTCCCCGGGGCAGCCAGTGCCTTAAGGCCCGGGTGTTTGCGGGCACAGACGCATGCTGTGTCCCCGTGCTGAACGCCACGGAGGCTGCGCCGTCCTCAGCCCAATGTGAGTTCAACGTGCACGCAGTGGCAAGCAGATGCTGAGATCCCGCCTAAACTTAAACAACAACCTAGAGGAACCCCTGAACACTGAAAAGCCCCATGTTAGGCTGCACATCCTCACAGCAGAAGGCGGCGCAGCCTAGAGCTCAGTGGAGTAAGTCAACGCTCACCCTCTTGTGCTTTTGTGAGCCTTATCGTTAGTTATTCTACTACAATTCCTATTCTTCTTATTTTTACGATTAGTTTTCTGCTCCTTCTTCTTCTTACAATTAGTGTAATGGTTATTATTGGAATTACAGTAGCATGTTGTTGTTCGAATCATAGTTGCTGAGGCTTTGAGCCAACACCTGGCGGAAGCCCAAGAGACAGAAAGCACATCTTACAGGGAGTTAACTCATGGGCCCCTACTGAGGTTTTAAGTTTAGGGTCTAGGGTTTAGGGTTTCTAGGGTTTAGGCCCTTAAAGGTCCCGCTGTGCAATCTGCTACCGGGGCTCTAGCCTCCCTCCCTTCTGGCGCCCTTGAGGCTCACCTGGAGCCTATGAGCCCGCACCGGCACCGAAGCTCAGCCGTACCCCGGGCTCCGTGTGCGGGACTCGGAATAGGGTTTAGGATGTGGGGTTTAGGGTTTATACGGTTTAGGGTTTCCCTGAACCCCAAAATCCCTAAACCCCCTAAACCCCTTAACCCCCTAAACCCTAAACCCCCTAAACTCCTGGACCCCTAAACCCTCAAATTCGAAGCGCGCTATACTGCAAACAGGCCGCGGCCTCGCCCCGTGCCCGGCGCCAACACAAGAGAGGTGCCTGGAAGCATCAAAAAGACGGGATTTAGGGTGTGTGTGTGTGTGTGTGTGTAGAGTCGTCCTCAACCGGGGTTAAAATGTTTTGGGTTTTGGGTTTAAGGTTTAGGGTTGAAGATTCGCGAGACTCCGGACTTCAATCTTAAGTCCACCCTCCAAAACCCTATGAAACCATCCACTTCACAGTTCTAAAGCCCTCAAGCAGTAGCTACACTTCAATCCCGAGGCCACGAAGGTCCTAAACCCGAAACCCTAAACCCTAAGCCCTAAACACGCATGAGGTGTGGGATCATGTGGGGCCTGAGGATGCTCCAGGGCCAAGGGGCGGACCGTCTTTCGGGGGTTAAGGGTGGGTTTAGGCTTAAGGATAGGTTTAGGATTTAGGGTTTTTGGTTTAGGCTTCAGGACTTAGGGTGAAGGGTTCTGGGTTTTAGAGGGGTTTGCTGGCGGGATGCCTGGGAATGTTAGGGACCACGCTCGCTTCGTAGGTGCTGCTGGACAACGGCTTCTCAAGAGAGGAGGATGCGCCCTCAGTGGGTGTGGGTCTGTGGATGGTGAAGTTGTGAGTGAAGTTATCTACCGAGACGAAAATATGAGGTGGACAACCTTATGAAGGAGGGTGTGGTTGCCGAAAGTCGCAAAGAGCCGTCAAAGCTTTGACTCTGCGAAAAAGTGGCCGTGAATGCGCCTGCCGCTAATCCTCATGCTGCCACATGACACACACACAATCGCAAGCCTGATCGCCAGTGACACATAGAGTGGCGCCTTTGCTCAGATTGCAGGCGACAGTTGCCCGACCATCCGCCTTCGAAGTGCTGACGAGCAGATGGCGAGCAAGCTTGGAGCCTTTACCCTGGCTTTGCACTTCAGTGATCTGCAGTGCGCATGTGCAGTTCGCAAACTCGGAAAGACTGTCTGGAACTGCCTATCGGCTCAGAAGACGAAGAAGATCTCCCCCCCAAAGTCTGGCAGCCCTGTCTGGCACCCATGGCGACTGTGCCAGTGAACCCGAAGCCCTTCCTGAATGACCTAACGGGCACCATGGCTGAAGGTATTCTGGTTTTGTGTTTCAATGTGTTTGCTGTTCTTTGCAGTGCGAGTACTTGTAGAGGAGAGTGCAAGAGGCCATCTGGTTACAGGCAACTGAGACGATCTGCTTCAGATGCCACAGGCAAGCGTTTTTTTTCTCGCTGAAGCTGTTTGAAACCAAGGCAAGCTCGTGCTTACGAAGCTGAAATGGGGCACCTCGGATGAACTTGAATCCCCTTGCACAGGGAGAGCATAGTAAAAAGCCGCCGCCGTTTAATCAATGGCAAAAATAAATAGAAGTCCGACATCCAGATGTGTCGAGACATATGCTTTGTGGCATGATGCCTGAACATGCAGGCTTCAGGCCTCAGTCAGCCAGTCTCACCTGTGCATTGGCTCGGAGCATGGTCTGCTGCATAAACAGGGAAGTCCAAGCGACAGTCTGATCACGTGTGCCTTGAAACCCTATATAAACCCTAAACTACCCCAAGCCCTAAGCCCTAAACCCGAAACGACAAACTTGGGCTGTGAGGTATGGAGTACAAAGGCACCCTGAAGTCCATTGACCCTTACATGAACCTCCAGCTGCTCAACACAGAGGTGCGTGTAGTGACTGCCTGGTGCATTGTGTGTGTGTGTGTGTCAAGACTTCCTGCCTACCCCTGGTCACTCCTAAGAATCAGAACCTATCACAGCCCACCTTTCAAGGTCCTCCCACTACCATCTCCCCTGGAAAAAGGCCCCGCATGCGTTCAGCTCTCTTTATCCTGGCACTCTGAACTTGTCAACTCATGCGCGTGTTTCTTCCCTCCTTCGCTACATCATCTGTTTTAGGGCCCATCCGGAGTTCCGAGTTGCCTAGTCACCCCAGTCCGTGCGGAGTCCGATCACATGCCCGCAGAGACCCGAAAGCATCGGCACAGGAGTGGGTTGACGGCAGCTTTCGGGGCAACCTTGGCGAGGTCTTCATTCGCTGCAACAACGTCCTGCAGCTGTGCGGTGACTTAGGGCTTTATGGAATTTTGCGAAAATCCTTGTCGGACGCCAGGGTCTACCGTGTTGTTTCCTTGGGGCATTTGCGCAGGTCCTTTGCGTATGGGGTGCTCTCTGTCCACCATTACAATACAAACAAATGTTTCAAGCATGCGGCAACTGGGGTTGGCCTCTCTGCGTAGTGATGTACTCTTATTGCGGGCGTTAACACCCACATTCCTATTGTTGATGTTGTCCTGTGTGGTCCTTTGCTGTTTGCTGTAGGGCAAACATGGCAGAACTGATTCTGGTAGAATACTGTAGCACAGCCAACAAATTCCAGGATGCATGCCGAGCTTGCGGTGCCCAGGTACATTCGCGGAATGGCTGATGAGGAGTCAGATATGGACTGAGCAAAGTAGACTGGTCTGATTGGTAGACCTGATATAACTTGACATGGGAGGCAGGGATTGCTGGCTCCGCCATGTCCTGCAAATGATTTGTGCCGGTGCAGTCCATGCTGAGTGCATGGCTTTCACGGCATCGAGCTTAAGTCTTGTCTCTGATCAAGCTCAAAAAGCGCTTGGCTGCATGTCCAACAGGCCGTGCCGGTTGACATCAATGCTCCTCTTACCCATCAAAAGAAGTGTCAGGAAGTTCGTTCAGAAATCTTAAAGAAACCGAAAGCCAACATCCTAAGAGCCCCGGAATCACGGAAGAAGCTGTCTTGAACGTGGTCCACCAGCCAGTCTGGGAGGCCCCGAGTTTCAGGCACAGTTTTGCTGGCTGCGCAAAAAGGAAAAGGCACCCGGCTTGAGGACGGAGGGAAGTTGCGGGCTGGGTGGAAGCAAGATGGCATGCCTGTCAAAAGCTTTGAGTCTGCATCATTCTGGGAGGTTCACGATACTCGGCATACCTTATTGGGGTCCGATGATAAAGGGCTCCTACTATTTGGGGGTCTATATTAGGGGTCCCCTATTTTCGCAAGCCCCTTCTGCATCCCATCAGCCCAGTTGACTCCACCGTGCCACTACTTCCAGATGGGGCTGTGCACAAAAGGTGCAGCTTGCAAGCCTGGCTCTCAGCACGGCCGACATGGGGGTTTACGAAAATAGGGGGCCCCCAATTTAGGCGCCCAAATGGTAGGAGTCCCTTATATTCAGGACCCTAAGAAGGTACCCATAAGATCGTAAACCCACACATCTGTAATCTGTATTTACTTTGTCGATGGACAGAGTCTTTCGGAGTTCTCAGGTTTTCCCACAGCCTTGCTGGCACGCTGCCAAGACAGGCTCATGTCGCACGGTCGGCTGCAGGGGATTGCACCACGTTCCCGCTGAGTGACTGTTGAGAAGGTAGGCTAGGCCTCCTGACAGGAGGAAGTTCTGCGCATGGAAACCTTGCGCTTGCAGGCGCGATGGGCAGGGATAGTGCTTGCAATGCGGCATGATGCAGCATGCCCTACTAGCAGAAGCAGATTGGGGATGCTTGACATGGAAGGTGGAGTACTACTTGAGTGATGACAACCTGTTGACCGACAGCTTCTTTCAGGCCAAAATGCCTGTTGCCAGTTTCAGGAACCTGGCTCAAGTACCAGAGCATCTTTTGAGGACTTGATCCACAACAGCGAGGGAGGATGGATTGCAGTGGACAACTTTCTAGGCCTGCAGCATCGGGAGTCCAAAACTACCTGTCAAGAGCAGATCAGGGAGATGGTTGGCGCAGCATTTTGGCATCAGGGAATCAAGAACATGAATCAAGGCGAATCAAGAGCATCCATGCTTCACATAGCGCACGCTCACAGGCTGCCCGCGTATCCAGCAGCTGCGAGCCACCGCCGCAGAGGTGCCCATCCGCGAATCGATCCACCCAGAGGGCCCAATACTCCTTAGCTAAGGTATACACCTTAAACTAGAAAGGGATCCTTAATCTGATTTAAGGAATAGTCCTTAAGCCATAAAAGGATCCTGAATATGATTTAAAGAATATTCCTTAGTTAAGGGGCATTGGGCTCTTTGGGCAAAGACGGTACCAGCGCCTCCATGTGCTCGTTCAGCTCGTCGCCGCCCTGCGCTGGTCGAAGCAGCTTCGCCTGCGTGAGTGGCCGGAGGGAAAGGAGGCAACCGTCGGCCAATGAATAGTATGAAATATATCATACTAGGAGTTTAACTTCAGTAATTAGTTAGCCATCAATAAATCCATGTTAAATATGTGCAGTTCGGTGCATCTCATGTGAAAAGCACTCAAACTCTTCAGAGGCCGTGAGCCGCACCTCCCCTCCGCCAAAACTGCAGGCGCCCCTACTCTCTGCGATCTTCCACGAGCTGGTGTAACACGCTGTGAGGGTTTAGGGCCTTTTGGGTTTTGGGGTTTTGGGGTTTAGGTAAGTTGTTGTAGCTTGTGCTTGGTGCACCTTTGACTGACTCTTGACCGCCCTTTGCATCAGTTGACAGGTGCCGCATGGAAATTCAACTCCTGCTCCAGCGGGGGAAGAGTCCCTAGATGAGCGGCGATATCCCCAGACTTCAAGCACCACTGGTGAAAGGTAACATGACCGAAGAACCACTCTTGTCCTCTGTGCGCTTGAGGCCACTGGCTCTTCTGCGGGACTTCGCCGCAGGATGGGAGGTCCTTGCCCAAGATATTTGGGGATCCACACGATGATGAGGCGTTTAGGGTTTTGGGGCTTTATTGTCGTAATTGAGCTCCTTACCAGAGCTTAAAAGACAGGCCTTTTACATGGACCAATCTTGAGCCCTTGGCTGTTTAGGGGAGAAAATACAAGAGTGCTTGATAAGGTATGTTACAGGGTATATGATAGGTATACAAAGCCCCCAATGATTCGGCGCCCACATGAGGGGCATATATACTTCAGACCAACAAAAGAGTTCATGGGGCAAAGGTAGCCTGGCCACTCACCACGCGATCCTTCACGGTGTGAGGCCTTGGTCGAGGATCTGGATCGCAGATCCTTCTGCTTTGTGAAGCCGAGGAGCGCTTGTTGCCGCCAAGAGCCGCTGATGTGCTGGTTTAGATGAACAGACTTGCGATTTTCAGGACATCTCCCGAAGATTTGCTTCGGCAGGCAGGGAAAGAAGTATCCACCGCATCTAGTGCAGACGGGTCTTCGCTCAGGAGTTCGATGTGTTGCTATCGTCTGCGCACTGGCAGACACTGTTGCGGACCGAGTCAAAGGTACGGTCATGAACTGCTCCAGGGTCCAAGACCCAAGCGCAGGTGTAACGCCAACAAAGAATCCCCGACTCCCCAACAAACCACCCTTTTTGGGGGCCTTGCCCCTGTGCTGAGGACAAGCAAAACAGGTGCTGTCACACGAAGCACTGCATGGTGTGGCCCTTGGTTCTGCAGCGATCTCTGCCAGGGCCTTTAGAGAAAGAGTTTTAGGCTGGCCTGTTCTCCCTTATACTAACAGTCCTTAATAGGGATGATAGTAACCCCCTATTATAATGCCTATGAAGGACTGTTAGTATAAGGAGAACATCCCAAAGTTTAGGGTTGGTGAAGCATCTGCAGGTATGTGTCTCCAGGATGCTGCTGCCGGTACGTCTATGGTGACACTGCTGCTCTAGCCTTAGCCGGCTGTAGTTGACCTCAGTACATGACCAGCACAGAACCTAAACTTGGACGCATCAGAACCC